CCCCCTCCGCACATAAGCATGCATTCTCAACTCCGTTCCTGGATCCGCGTTTAACAACTGACCCTGATTTACTAACATCTCAGTCTTATATACCTGATGTTACGCTTGACTGCACTTAGAATAGTTTACCTTACCATTTTAGAGCTAGAGAACCGTTAAGTGTATAAAAGTTTTAAATGTATAAAAGTCTATCTAGCTGTACTCTTGTTTGAGTTACAACTTACAAACAGCACTGACGGATTTTGTATTGTGCATGTAACCTTGTTTTTGTGTTTGCCGATTGTTTTTAAACGTTTTTATGCAAATTTGTATTAATTACTCCCTAAATGTTAGCCGCATGCACATTAACACTTTCGCCAACGCATGTTGCCATCGCTTGCTAAAGTGTGGTTGTCATTCTGACGAATTTCTTATTAGGTTCAGAAACTTGTTGAATATTGAGTCAAAAGTTCGCGATTTCAAAACTATATATATATTTTATATATATATATATATATATTGAGAGTATAAAGTATGTTATCGAGGGGGACCAAATTTCCGAACTGTGAAATACGTGATTTGTCCTCCCCAGAAATTCTTAATTTGGCGACCTTTTCGCCGAGATGAAAAGGTTTTACACAAATAAATGAAGCAAACTAAGTATGAATACAAACAAACATTTACGATCTTGCTTTTAGAAGCTTCGCGATTCTCGAACTCATGGCAATAAAGTATATGTTTTCGAGGGGGCCAAATTTCCGAAAGGGGGGCCATATTTCCTAGGAAATATGACCCCCAGGGGGGCCAAATTTCCTAGGGGGGCCAAATTTTGGGGGGGGCCAAATTTCCTGGGACACCGGCTTTATAGGTAAAGAATCTTTGATCGAATACTTATAGGCTATAGCTACGACATTTGCATTTGTAATGACTAATGAACAGGAAAGGCGTATAATGTACTCTTACTATAAACGATAGGAATTATATTCGTGCACAAGCGAATGTGCTTTAGGCATATTACTGAGCTACTCTGTCACTGTGTTCGTGTTCAGTCGAAGTTTAGCATTTCTGAAGAGTTAAGTATGATGTCTTCGATTGTAACAGGTATTCTCAGTTCAACAGTCGGTTTATTATGGAATAAGGCCCGATCCTCGGCGGCAGACAAACTCAAAGACGGCGATGTAACAGATGTAGAAATTCGAAAGATTGTTGTACGCGAGTTAGACGATATCAAGTCTAAAATTGATGGCCTTTCTCGATCAACTTTACTCGTCAGCTATGATTTCCTTCAAGAAGGAGTAGATTTACTCAGCGCTTCTCTTGATAAGTCAAATCCTGAACAGAGGGCGAGAGAGGTTGAGGACGAACTAGGTCAACCTTCAAGTGGTATTCAGTCAGATCTCTTAAACCAAGCAATAGCGCTTCCTCATTCCATGGGAAAGCTGAAAATCAACTCAGAAGCAGATTTTAAAGCCGCGAAAGAAAGATTCAATGAAGCACGTAAGGCAGCATCTAATGCTTTCAGGAATGACGCGCTTAGTATCGAAGATCGAATTTTTGCGGCGAAGCTACGAATAGTTTCGGATATTCTGGAACATTTCGATAGTCCTGAGACCGCAATCACTGGATGCCTGTCGTTTCTAAAAAAGTTTCATAGCTTACCAGCCATCCAAGAGATATTGTCTGTGTATTTGGACGGTGGAGTGAAATCGTTGTTGAATAAAACCAAACGAGTGGAGAACGTCAAGTCGGTTATGCTATAATCAACTATGTGTTGTTTCAATATGTTTGGAAATTCAGTAATAAGTATTCCTTGGAAGTGTCCGCCTCCATGCCAACGATTGAACTTCATGATCGTAGTTTTCACCCGATAAAGAATTGGTATGAAATTTCAGATAGAAATTCCATGGGTAATGAGTTGAAGCTTCAAACAAACGAAGTGTTTTTCAAAGAAACGATGAGACCCTTCTTATCTGCTGTGAACAGTCAGGGGGACATTCTTATATTCCCTGACTTTCGACCCTACGACTTGGACGTTTTTCTAATGTCAGGAAAATTCAAGCGTGTTAAATTTCCTCAAGATGTTTTTGGTGTTCCAGCGGCGCTTGCTGTTGATATGAATGACAATGTTTACGTACTTACGTGGGGAGGACCTCAAATTAAATTCAGATTGTTCATATTCGACGAGAATTACAATGCAAAAGCGGAACATAAATTGGATCTCTTCATCAGTGGGGATTCGTTTAGGATGGCGATATGCAAAAACAATGATATCGTCTTCATCAAAGATGAAAACGATGGGTTTGTGTATGTTTGTGACAAGAGGGGTAAACTAAAATACAAGTTTGAAACCGAACCAAGCGAGGCGGTTTCATTAAGTATTTCTCCCAAAAATGAAATCATGATACCAACAGAGGATCATACGGCGGTTCAAATATTCACCATGGAAGGAAATCTGACGAAAACAATTAAAGTCCCAGAAGATCATGAGATATTAAGCGTGGCATTTCACTACGTAATTTGCAAAATATTGGTCTTAACCTTCGTAAAGGAAAAAGGTTCCCATTTTCTTATCAGGTACCCCGAAGCAGGCGGGGAGATGGAAAATATTATGTTACTTGGTAGTAAAATGGATTATTCGTGGCATTCCCGAATAAAATCCCATCCAAATGGTTTTATTGTTGTTGTTAAAGATCAAAGCGCCATCTACCTCTGATGAAACCAAGTATTTAAACAAACAATTTTTGCAAAAACGTAAATGGAAAATAGTGAACACTACTCTGAATGAGTATAAACATTAAAAGTTACGAAGGAAAATAAATTTGTACGCTTTATTGATGCATGCATGTAGCTGTTGTAAAAGGGACAAGTATCATCATGCATGGTCACTTACATACATCCGTTAATAATAATCAAAATTAGAATAGGCTTGTTGTTAGAATTAACTTTATTGATCAAGAATGTTAACTTTGTTTTATTCAATATCAGTTTACAATAATAATTTGTGAAAACGTTCTTCTCCACCGTAATGCCTTATGAATATTTTACATAGTATTCATATATTCATGCCACAGAACATAAAATGAATATTTGCTTCCCCCCCAGTCAAAAATCTTGTATGTTGACATATACACGGCAATCATAGCTAAGATATTCCTCATTGGGTATTGGGTATTAGGGAGAGAAAACTGCGTGGTCTGGGAAATAATAAATATGGTGTTAATCTTTCCCACCCACGACAACTTTAGTGCCCAATTTGAATAAAACACACATTCCAAGGGTATACTGCATAATTGGTTATCTGCAAATTTATATGCCTCGAGGACTGTTCGTTTATATAACATACAACTGCGACCGCGGGAGACATTTAACGCGGCCGGGGGGGATATTCATATATTTGTTTTAACAGTCCGTAGAAACATTCAATTTTAAAAGAAATTAACAATGCAAAACACGAATATATGATATCATCCACCCCATCCCCCCCGCTGCTAATTAGGGTCTTAGTAATAAAATTATAGTTCTATCCATTACCAACAGATACGTTTCAATTTGACCGTGGAGCAGCGTGGCAGCGTCTTGAAAACACTTAGGATCAAATGTGGTTTAATAGACAAAAACACTTAGATCTCGATATTTTCACCGGAGTAGGGCCTTCGTTAGGAGAGTTCGTAATATGACCTTTTGGATAATTACGTCACAACATTATCGTTTTAAATTTAGAACCACCTTAAGTACAAAGAAACAAAACATCGTTAATCAACACATGCATCAGAAAGAATTTTCAACTTTGAAAAATAAGTGTGGAACTAGACTGTAACACTAAAACGAGGCTACCAGGCCACGACCGAGTTATATGGCTTATTTCCACAATTAGTTTGTGAAAATGAAAAGTTCTTGAAAAGTTATTTTTCTGATGCACGTGTTGACGAACAATGTTTTGTATCTTTATACACATGGCTCGTGAAGTAAAACTTGAAATCCATTTCATTTAAGGTGGTTCTAAATTTATAACGGTAATGTTGTGAGGAACAAATCTATTGTAAAAACACCACGGGTGTTCGTTTGTGCTCAGATCAAAAGCCCTGTGGTCCGTATCGGAAAATATATCGATATTGCAACTTCCGATACGAGACGTATTTTGGCAGTAATATTATGTGAACTGATATGACATCTGATTGATATAGAGAAACGCGTTGCTGTTGAAGGGCAATAATCAATGATCCGTTTATACGCTTGTTCAGTGGTTGTACTGCAGTTTTGCAGTGTAAATGATTAATGCCACAGTGCTATGGACTGCGCAGAGTTTTCTTACTGTATCCCCCGAAAGTCAAGATTCCCCTTGAGGGATGGAATCCACTGCCTTTAAGCGAATTACCTGATGTGCCTTTCGCGAATGTTCAAACATTGGTCGATAATGATTTCTATATTTAAATTATTCAGCGCTCTCGTAACGGCTATCTTTAAAAGGGGAACGGGGAATCGGGGAACAGGGGAACAGGGAAGCCGGTGGAACGGTGGAACTATGGACTCATTGAACAGCTAAACAAAGAGTTATAGTGTTGAACCTAAAAGAAAAAAACTGTTAGTATATATTATCCACATCCTAGGGGTGTATACAGTATTATTGCTTTCTGCATCCATTTCTCTGTTCCTAATTCCTCCTGCTCCCAAGTTCCTCCATTCCCATTTCCCTTGTTCTCCAGCTCCCGAGTTCCTCCATTTCCCTGCATCCCGGTTTCCCCGGTTTCCCCATTACCTGGTTTCCCTGTTTCCCTGTTTCCCGGTCCCTGATTCCCCAATTCCCCGATTCCCTCATTCCCCCAATCCTCGATTGCACCATTTCCCGATTTCCCAAATCCCCGATTCCCCAAATCCCCAATTCCCCGATTACCTGATTCCCCCTTTGAAAGATAGACATCTCGTAACTGCATCGGCCTTTACTTGTCGGGTTCTGATTGGTCAAGATCGGTACGAGAGTATCAACGAACAGAGGCTCGAACGGACTTCGTAAGCCGTCGTGAGACCTCGTCAGCATTTGATCTTTGAATCATTGTAAAGAAAGATAGCAAAATAGAAGATCAAAAACGCATTTGAAAGGAAAGAAATCTATTTTACTATGGAAAATATCACGACTGTTAATGCGACTTTAAACGAAACGGCGAAAAATGCGACTGGAAGAGAAGCTGCAACGACAGAAGGACTCGTGGTGGCTTACTCAAGTTTAATCATTATGGCAGTGTTGCCAATCTTCTTTGGGTCATTTCGTTCAGTTTTACACTACAGGAAACAAAAGGTATGGAAAAGATCAGGGATTAGGGATGTGATGTTGAATAGCGAATATCTTCTCTTGTATTTAGTGCATACGAGACCGATTTATGTTCCCTCTAACACCCCGCTATTTTTGATTTTGGTTTAGTCCATATTCTGTATATGCATGTATATTACTAGATGAAGTGTCAAGTACTTCAAAATAGGGACACGTGTACCTAATTTTTTTCCTCTAGACAGAATACTTTATTAAAAGTTATGTTACAGTATATTGTGTTGCTTTAAATGAAGAGGATCATATGACAGTTATATATATTTTATTATAACATCCCTCTTAAAAATGGTTTATAAAATATCAGGTGTAACTCCATTTAATATATACCAGACAGGTGGATATTAACAATGCTTTCAACAAAAGGATTCAAGTCTCCCTAGATTTAATTAGGAATTTTATTGTTTGTTTCATCTTTCTTGCAAAAAAAACTTCATAGCATTGATATCATTTTGTGGTCCATGGGAACTATAGGTGTATATAAAACTATAGCTTGATCATCTTTGTCTTTCTGCTGGCTAACCTTTATTTTTTTCCAATGACTCGTGATCTGTGTGTTTAGGGTTTTAGTTAGGGGAATAACAGTAAACAATATTGTTGAGCTGTTACATATGTGGCGATTTGGTTGACTATTTATAATATATTAATTGTTTCAGTGGAGAAAATTGAAAGAAAGACTCAGTAATAGAAACTCAGTGGTATATAGGGAGTGTGGTAATTGGGCACTCATATTCATATGACCATGTTCTACATTATTTATGAATGTGATTCATTTAGAAATCAAATGTTTTTGTGGTCTGTGAACATGAAGATTTGAATACAACCATGTTTAATGCTGGCTGTGCCATATGCAACTATTATATACAAGAAACACTTCACATAATGTTTTGCCTAAAATTATTTTCTGATTTGTGTGTGATTCACTCTTTCATAATTTTGCCGTAAACTCTGTGGAGTACTTCATTGCCTTTGCAAATTCATTTGGCATTGAAATTGGATTGAAAAAGTGAAAACATGTTTTTCTGTGACATTTCCAACTTATCTGCAGTTGAAAATGTTGTACATGTATTTATGTACCTATAAAAAAAGTTCATGCTATAGCCATATCTTTTCAATGCTCTTAAAATATTTAATCCTTATTCGGGATTCAGGTTTCCAGAATGAATGACTGTTTAATAAAACCTGTAGTAATTAATCATCACAGGCATGCAGATATAAAAAATGTGCAATATGCCAAAATGCATCATTGTAAGATTGAATTGTTATTCGATTTTAATGTTACTTAAGAAAATTAGTTGTTAACCTCTGAAACTAGCATAATACATACTTCTATAGAATCATTTTTAATATGCCTAAAAATGTGGCTTATCCTGGTAATTTTATAACTTCACAATTCTATTTTTAGGAAAATGGTGAAAAACCAGACAGTATGACACATAAAGATGCCATGATGTTTCCTGTTGTTGCAAGTGGTGCTTTGTTGGGACTTTACATTATCTTTAAAGTATGTGTGAAAACTATGTAGTTTAGATAAATTATTGAGGGAATATAATTTTATTTCTTTAATTGTAGCTCTTTAACAAAGATTATTTAAATCTCCTGTTGGCATTGTATTTCTTTTTCTTGGGAGTTTTAGCCTTGACGCATTTGCTCAAGTGAGTGTTGAATTCAATTTTAACTAGTGCTCAGTTAAAAAGAAGTATTATCATTATCCACACAGATATTAAATTTCATGTTTTTACTCTCTCAGGCCTAACGTGGCGCCTTTACTGTCAACCATTGTCCCAAATGTACCATACCATTTAACCTGCACAGAAGGCACTGGTGACAAGAAAACAGGTAACTAAATGTTATCTAAGATATGTAAGACATATTTAATTGTAATCATGGGTGCACTTGTACCTGTCTGGATATACTTAACAATTATATCCCACATTCGAGTCATATATGAGCTGATAGCCAACAAGATGTGTAGCACTCAACCGATTCATTGTGAAATCAGATTGTGAAGAAGCTGTAATATTATAGCTAATTTCCATTATTCTGCCCAAAACCAGGTCATTTGTTTCCTTGGGGTAGTGATTGAAATGTATAGAATTGAAGTTAAATATCATCAATATACCGTACATATAGAAACAACAATCTGAACTGTATGATTTTAAACAAACAGAAATCATTTGCACTGAAAAGTTAAGGGAATATGCTATTAAGAACATTACATAAATATTTTTTTATAAAATCAATACGATACAAGGTTTTCGCATATTTTTATCCACTGCATTCGCATTTTATATAATGTGTGTAATCTGCTAAACAGTACCTAATATCCTTGCTACAGTAAATGCCCACCATTGTCAATATAGACGTTGTATTTTCAACCATCAGCCATCTGATCACTCGTATCTTTTCAAGTTTTCATCAAAATTATTTGAAACTGTTAAACAAATTTAATTTCAGATATAATGGATTACGAATTTGATCGCATCGATCTTATTTGCGTCTCTGTGTCGACGATATTTGGAATCTGGTATCTTGTTAAGAAGGTAAGACGCGCGAATCTATCAAATTCCTTTTCATCTACAATGATCAACCGTTTAACTTTTCCACAACCTCCACGGAAGTTGTTTTATTTGTTATAGGCACGGTTGGTTCATACTGCATTCGGTTATAGGGTTATACACAAGTTTAGGTGACGGTTTTTTGTGTTTATTTCAGCACTGGATTGCAAACAACGTGTTAGGTCTGGCTTTTGCTGTTAATGGTGTTGAGCTTCTTCAACTTAATAGGTGAGCATGTTGCATTATTTCGTTCAACAGCTATAATAAAGTCATTACCAGCTGTAACAATCATTTATGGGAGGCTAGCTCGCACGAAGAGTCCACTGCATGATATCGCGTGTCTACAATGCCTACGAATAGGTTGATGGTGATGGCGCATATACACCTTTAACGAGAATGCTATGTAATATCTAATTTGTTGTTTTGGAGCTACATGCATACAGCCTGTTTATATGGATCGAGTTTTTCCGTTGAAAACTACATGTAATGAAAGACTACTCAGGTTAAGCCTTTGATGTGGTGCGCTTTTTTACCTTGCTTAACCGGGATAACTCGTTCCATACAAGCAGGCTCCTATAGATGTCTAAAGAAGTTTCTATATTCTTCATTTTTGGCTGATCTTATCTCATATGTACATTTCTAGTGTGATAACCGGATGTATATTACTTGGTGGTCTATTTATTTACGATATTTTCTGGGTAAGTTATTGTCAGTAGATTCGTGAAAGATTAATGATATGTAGCTATATTGCACACTAACTTGTACCTTATTACTTGCTCTTCATAAAACAGAAGCGTAGAAAAGCCCAGGTTGTATGAAAACGTCGTTAACTTTAAGTATGATTAGCGCTAATCACTGTAGTTAAATCCTTAACTATGATTAGTTAACTACACGACTGAACTGCGTTGCATAAAACGTAGTTTGTCGGATGTTTAACTAATCACGTAGTTAACTTGCGTTATTAAACAGAGAAATGGCATGAAGTTTGTCAATATTATTTACCGCTGCTATAGATTTTGAACAAGACCGAGGACTCGTATTTACAAAAATTGACAGTATTTTGATCGAAAATATTGGCAAAAATGCAATAAATAAAGGAAGAAGTTAAAAAAATCCAAATAATTCAACGAAAAAGGCGCTTTTGATATAAAAAGGTTCTTTTGAGTCAACCTACAGGTCGCAGATAAAATGTAGCCTGCGGTGCAGACGCTTCGATTTACAAAGAAACACACGCATATAAGCGTCTGAGCATTGGGGCGCCGATCCTTGCTCAACGTGGGCACTTTTAGAAATTAATATGTTCTGGTTAACACTGTTCTGCGTCTCCTGTTGAATATTTTCAACCTAAGTCAACTTCGTTGCCACGAAGACAGCAACATGAAAATATTGACGCTTCAAGTGCCCAAAGTACCACTGTATCCGTGAAAGTGCAATGGAAAAGCAAAACTTCAGCAGCATCTTCGAAATATTTACATTAAATTCGCTCCCTCGATAAACGCCATGTTTAAAACAATAATTCAAATAACGGTTGAAAACCTTGGTATGTGTTGATTCTAATGGTTACTCGCTCCTCGAAAGTTCATCACGCCATTTTTAACTACGTTTTGGACAGTTAACGATGCTTTTGAAGATGATTAACTTTAACTACGTTTTAACTACGATTAACGCTATAACCACGTTTTTATACAACTGGCTTAACTACGTGATTAAAGTTAACGACGTTGTAATCACAAAAAAAAGTTATTAAAATGTGATTAAGAGCTTTATACAACCAGCCCCATTCAGGTGTTAACTAAATGTTTCAAAATGTAAAAAATTCACCTTGTGCAATATTCTAGGTATTTGGTACAGACGTTATGGTTACTGTTGCAAAGTCCTTCGAAGCACCAATTAAACGTAATTATACGATGCCCTCATTTTCTAGTCCATGTTTTATGTCCATTTTCAAGTCCATGTTTTACAAGTCCATGTTTTACAAGTCCATGTTTTACAAGTCCAGGTTTTACAAGTCCATGTTTTACAAGTCCATGTTTTACAAGTCCAGTCCAGTCTATATTTTACAAGTCCAGTCCACGTTTTACAACATGCCCAAGATTCGTAATTTCCCCGCCAATCTCGGTGCTTTTGCCCACGCCATCTGACAAAACTCGTAGTTGTTGGGCTTTCGAATGCGAAATTTATCGACAAATATGTATACTTAAAAGCTCTATTTTAATAGAGATTTCAAAAGGGTTTAGCATGGAAGAAATGATGTTTATGTCAACCACACATTTATTTTAAATATAACACTACAACTGCCCTTCTCCACAACACTGTGCGTGGAAATTTCTTATAAATACAGATATAAGTGATATACATACACGGCTCCAGATTGTTCTTTGCATTGATTAAAGTATTTGTTTAGTGATCTTTCCCATGGACATACTCGAAAGAGGTTTGGCTGCAAAAAACTTTGCGATGCTGGGGTTAGGTGATATTGTCATTCCAGGTATGTCTTTTTGTGTAGCTATACATATATATGTATTCAGTACATCACTCTTTACAATAACGTGCAGTAATTCCGAGACACCGGCCGCTACCCTGAAAAAGATTTTGTTGGCACCTATGATGTAAATTTTTACAGTAGGATGCTCTTTTATGAAATTTCTCACCCAACTCACCCCCTGCCGTAAAATGTTGTGTTTAATTTTGATGTGAAGTAGGCCTATAATATGCCTACAGCACTGTAGTTGCTTGACCACATCGATTTACAGGTCGATGAGACAGGAGATATTTGGCGGGTTGTCCACGACAACTTTCGCTAGGAGCCTTACAACTGCAATGTACGATTAAACTATACGTGATTAATATTTTGTCTGGGTATATTTTTCAGGAATATTTATTGCCCTGCTGTTAAGATTCGATAGAAGGTAACTGCTATTAAAGAAATATCTTATAAAATATTTTCTACAAAGCACCATGTGATGTATAGTAGCTGTATAACTATATTTCTATAATGAACTCTGCGTTTTATTTCCAGGAATGTTGGCAGTGACTCAAAGCGCCCTATATATTTCTACTTTACAATGGTGGCGTATTTTCTTGGCTTGTTATTGACTGTTCTAGTGATGCACGTTTTCAAAGCAGCGCAACCAGCATTGCTGTACCTGGTGCCTGCTTGCCTTGGCACCCCTATAATCCTGGCTTTGCTCAAAGGAGATATAAAGAGTCTCTTTACGTAAGTATTTTCATTTCACGATTCGTCACCCGCGCATTTGATGTGCAGGAATTATTTCAATCTATTATTAATGCGAACTTTGGGTGCAACTTGGCCGTACTTTGTACCTGGGGACAGTTGTATAGAAACATATATTATAAGCAAAAAAACAACATGGTACCTTTTATCCAACAACTTCTCATTAAATGTGGCAAAACATCCACGTCTTTCAATCATTACTAGAAATACATGCATGCAGTACCCCTCGCCATTTTCAGGCAAGAAAATAATCTCCTGGGCCTAGATAAGCTGTAACTATAAGTTTATATTATGGAATGACTCAATGACAAAGCGGCGATAGCCAATATTTTTATCATTTGGTAAAAAATATACTGACAACATTGAAGATGCTGTCGTTTTTTACAGGCGTTTATAGGCCTTACCAGCTTAGCTTAGGTAACAGTTAATATTTCAACATTTGAGGATTCAGAAAAACATAAAAACAGTACAAAATCTTCAACTTAGTGCAGAACCTCAAATATTCTTCGATTATATATGCCGTTGACAGTCGTAAAAGCTACATTTATATATAAATTTGCGTTTTAAAAAAACCCTTTTTAAAGTTAAAGCGATGATGTAAAAGCCTTTCATAGCCCAACATGACTATGGAAAACGACGTATTAAGCTCAAATATAAATAAACTACATTCCTCTTCATACAGCAAATGCAGAATATTATACTGACTATAGACACGTATCGATTTAATACATTTCGAAGCTTTATATAGAGCGAAAATGTTGAAAAGCAACCCTTTTTGTTTTTGATCAATATTTCTTGATGATTTTCATTGCATCTGTTGTAATTTTCCCCATTTTATTTGGTTTAATTTGTAAAAACAGTTTTATAAAAAGTTCTGCGAATTTGCAGTTAAATTGCTGAGTGCTGACGTTATACCGGGCGTAATTCCTAATCTCCGGGCGGAATTAGTACCCTCGGCTCCGCACCTGCTCGGGGATTAACCTTTGACAATCATTGTGTCCCGCGTACGAATTCTGAGCCCTCTGTCCCATGTCTTGTAGCAACGATAACGTCAAATACACCACGAGAAATGCGACTTATTCACAGTCACTCTCTATCCTTTTGAAATGAAAGCCTGTATCTTTCATTTTGGTTATTTCCTGAGTTCCATCATTTTTAGTTCACTTCTTGTAACACGAATTACCAATTCATTTGAATACATCTTCAGCTACATTGTCCTGCCAAGTTTGGCCTTCCCGATTGCTAGCTATGTTATAGGCATTGATTTGAAATTATGTTCTGGTCCTGCCCCCCCCCCAACACACACACACACACACACACACACTTTAAACAAGTTCCCGAACCCTGTACATTCGCCTTCATTTTCGTAACCGTCGGTTTTAGAGCAGTTATTTTAAACAGATTTAAGATTTCACCTTTTTGAAAACACCGAAGTAAGAAATGGAAAAGTCCGTATATAAATTCCATTGTGTCCGTTTTAAGCTTCAAATTGTTGCATGAGTGGTAGAAAAAGGAAATTTGCTTTTTCAAATAAAAATACCGCCATACCATAATCCTCATTTTTTTTCCATTTATGAACCAGGTATCAAGATCACACAGAAGAAGCGCTCAATAAAAAGCCAGATGAGGCTTCTGGTGAAAACGCGAATAAAGAAAATGCAAACAAGGAAGGCGAAAACAAGGAAAACGAGAACAAAGAATCGGCAGAGAGCGATGAAACCAAGAAGTCTTTGTAAATATAGTACCTTGTCCAGCATGGATTACAGCAATTTCATTTCGGGGTTTTAGGCATAGCTTATAACTTAGTGTAGATTATTTTCATTAGAGCTGATTTGACTGGGCTGGATTGTGTGAAGAAATTGCATGGTAATTTTTCAACCATTCTGTAATCCATACTGGCAGCGGCAAGATGTCTGTATACAGCCCTCAGGCACTCTTACTCGGTCTTTCAGTCAGAAAAAGGCAATATTAATATTATTTATCTTCTCATTTTAAAGATTTTCATAACTATCTTATCTCTGCAAACATTTTGATTAAAAGGAACAAGATGTCCGCCATCTTTGATTTCTGTAGAAGTGCATGTTACCTCCCAAAAGTAGAATTGCATTGCAAGTTGCAAGAAAAATTGCATCGTTTAACACGGCCTTATACATGCAGCTATGCCTTTTGAGAACATCTGGCAACCAATATCTGGTCAGCAACGAACATTTGTGGGGTTAACCCTGTTGCGACCTCACCAAAACTATCTGTGAATTCCAAAAATGAAAAATCTGTAAAAGAGGTTAACCCGGTTTGAAAAAAACTTTTCAGTGAGAAAATAAAAGTTGCATTGCCCTTTCCTTAGGCAATATTAAAGCAATTTATAGAGTTGTGATTTAAGAGGTCTGCAACACTCGATCAACCGTACCCACGGCCAACATAGGCCTCGGCTTATATTTGTATTAAATACAAGGTCGTATTTGATTGATGTTGTTACCTCTTTCCGATCGCAAACTGCCAAAGCCATGTAATAACCAGTCAAAACCATTCGCTGCTAGCAAATTTTGCAGTAGACCCTTTCAATTAGCCCTTAGGGCTGCTTTGCACTGTCACGTTTTTTGCAGTATGCTGCGTACTCGCACGTAAAAGCTTCTAAGTTGTTGTATAATTAATTTTATGCCAGAAAAAACGCAGGAAATCATCAACAGAATCCAACCCTATGCATGTATTCAATCGGTCATTTCATAAGTATAATTTTAATTTAACCCTTTACGTGCGTATACGTACGTACAAAGACCGGGGCAGTGGAAAACAGCTCTAAGCCTTAACAGAAAAACGAGATCTAGAGCCCCTTTCTGGTGAAAACGTTTTTTGCAGTTCTTGGGATTAAAGATTGCAATCCATTTCATTTAAGGTGGCTATAAGTTGAAAACTATGAAGTTGTAACGTAATTATTAAAAGGTCTATCTATCTAAATCAAGATTTTGTTTGTGCTTTACTTTAGTATATAGAAAGAATTCGCTGTTTTCCCTTGCAAACTGCGCGACCACCCATAACCCCAATCAAAAACGCTATCGCTGCAACTTCTATTCGCTATTTCGTAAAAAAATAACCATTTATAGGAGAACAAGGGGGAACTTGAGTTTGAATATAAACAAAACATAATACTGTATCACAACAAAGCTAGAGATAGGGCGAAACCTCATGCTATGCTCTGCGCGCTAAATTCTTTATCGTCAGAACGAAGCGGAGATGTGTTTATTGAAAATATTGGGAAAGCGTGGGCCTAATGTGAAAACATGAAATTCAGGTTACTTTTGGAGGATTTTTCCTGGGCACTCCGGTTTGCCTCCTTTTCGTTTGACTTTTAAAAAACAGTGTCTATGTATATATAGGGCCAAACGTGTGTTCGAATGGTTGATAGAGAAGAGATTTCTGGCAACTTTTACAAAATCGAGAAATGCAATTATATTTGTTAAAAACGCGAGTATTTTGCTTCTGAGTTGGATTCCCGGGACACTGGCATAAAAGAATTAAAAATGTTGAAACTAGTCTGGGACATTGGCGGGCATAGTACCATTCATCAATACTCAATGCATTGAAATGTTCGTAAGAACGAAGTGGGTGATGTTCATTTCACGCGTACTCTTACGAAATGAATGAATCAATCAAATTTATTTAAAACACGGTAAAATCTTCAGTATAACATAAGTATAGGTAATAGTATGGTTTCGAGTGCAATTTGGAAAAAACATGCACGAGTGAGTTTTTCAAAGACTCAAAATAGCACGAGTCCGAAGGACGAGTGCTATTTTGGGTCTTTGAAAAACTCACGAGTGTATGCTTTTTTCCAAATTGCACGAGAAACCATACTATTACTTGTTAATAATATACATGAAAATGTTCGAGACAAACACACGAGTATTTCTTGTATTTCTTGTCCCTATGTACATTTTGTTGATAGATTTTTCCTGTATATTGAATATTTCCTTTAGCGACGTTATATTTCTTAAATATTTTATTGTGAAACCATTGTTTTAAGTTTTAACGTTAAAAAGTCGCGAAAATCCAAATTTCCGTTTTTGATTTCCGTCGCCATCTTGGTTGTTTTGTTTGGGGCAAGCATTATATTTTTCCCGCCAAAACGTAGCTCAAATTTGATTGGCTGATATATTTATGACAGCCAATCAGATTGGTCTGTTACAAATTTTTGCACTGTTGTTACAGATTTTTGCACTGTTGTTACAGATTTTTGCACTGCTGTTCGGGATTAATTGCACTGAAATCGACCAATCACAGTCGAGAAACATTTTCATGTATATTATTATACAAGAAACATGACAAAACATGATTACATATAAATTCTCAAATTATATTTTATGTATATTATATTTTATTAATTTTTGAAATATATATATAACTATATTTGAAGGGTCTTAATTTCGAGTGCAATTATACACACTTCAAATTCAAGCCAGGAACATTTGATGGAATAATGAGTGAACTAAAGGTCCTCCGGCAGGAATCGAACCAACGTACGCTTTTGCGATGCCGGTGCAATGCTCTTGCCACCGAGCTACAGAGGTAGCTGATAATATTAAGTTTATATTAAGAAGTGTTTTACAAAAGCTGGTACAGGAAGTTGACTTTCCTATAAGGACTCAGTTTGAGTACCAGCTTGGTGTTTTTGTAATCGGTTTTGAAAGTGCGAATACAAATTTCAATGAAAAATATTAAGCTTTTAGAGTTGACCGCATCAATGGAAAATACCATTTGACGTTTAGTCCTTGAAGACGTTTTTCCGTTTCAATGTTCTGAAGGTGGTATTTTCATTCTTTGGTTAAGCTGCGAGATATGTCATTAACCGTCTGCTTGATATGGCAGAAAAAACAGTGATGTTTACTTTACAATTCACATAGTCTTTTGAGAAATAAAATTATTAGGAGGCGCCCCATTCGCTGAACTCGATGACTATCTAGCTCAAGAAGTTAGTGTCCTGTTTTGATATGGCAATAGTTTATCAATGGGAAATTTCGTTTTAGACCAATCACCAAATTTGCTCATAACACATAAATTTTGACTACTTCCGTGAGAAAGTATATTATTTACCATTTTACATGAAGTATTAAAAATTTAGGCGTTCTGATGCACTTTGCCTGAAAAATGTAAACAATTTAATACACGCGTAAAAAAATCGTGTTGATGCAAGTTGTTAAAAACAGGAGTGAACAATGTTGTGCTGCACCCTGTGAACAGTACTGTTAACAATGTTGATGAAGCTTGTTGAATCATCAATGTTGTTGGAACTTGTTACAACAACATTGCATCGTGATTGCATCAACATTGATGATTCAACAAGCTTCAACAACATTGTTAACAATACTGTTCCCAGGGTGCAGCACAACATTGTTCACCCCTGATGCGACAACCTGATAAATTTTTGGCCGTGTATCGGTGTATGTCTATTAGCTTAAAACGAAATTCCACCTTGTTGGAATTTCTTTAATCTTCGGTTGTGATTGGGAGCAACTCCGAATATAGGCCTAGAGAACTCCGCGAAAGACATGCACAAAAAAAGGACTTGGAAAGTCTTGGGAGTTTATTAATTTCAGTTCAAGGCGAGCAAACCCGGTTATTTAATTATCTAACCCAGTATTACTAGAGCAAATATACTTTGATTGCAGCAGTTTATCAAATGGTCTACAATCATGCTTAATCACTAATAGTGTAAGATTTGGCATTTTAAATTATATCAAACGTCAGCTAGTTTTTCTCACATCAAAATAGAAATTGTTCAGGATCCACCAAGCATTTCAACTGCGTGGCTTCGACTGTTGCTGGTCCATCAAGGGCAAAGTAATCCTTGTCTTTGCCGATTTCTTCTCGAGCGTGATAAATGGCGTCTTGTACGGCAAACAGACAAGAACATGACATACAGAGGGGTGGTTCACCAACCGCTGCGAAAAATATGGTTCCGAATGTTTTCACAATCGAATAAATTACACGCATAATATGGAAAAATGGCGACGGTGGCACGATCTGTGCTGCCTGATTCAGGGAGAGAACTGACAACAAAAGCAGGACAAAATTTTATCTCAGTACCTTTTGAGCGGAGAAATCCTAAATGGTTTGAGGCTTCTTTGAGAAGTGACACACGGAAATCTATTGGAATATCCTTGGAAAACGGGGGATAATAATCCTAAAATAGACAAAAAAATAGATTTTCGAAGAGAAACGTAAACTCAACTTACTCAAGTATGGTCACTAATTTTCATTTGTACGGTTGTACCATCATATCACGAGCTTTTTACATTTCATCTTAAGAATTTCCACGGAACGTCAAACTACGCATTTATGGTACATACCCAGGTCCCCGTGTTTAGTTGAAGTCCTGTGGTTGGCTCATAAATTGCATTCTCTGTCAGCCAATAACCAAGGCCCATGACAAACGCACCCTCGACTTGACCAATATCAATCTCCGGGTTTGTGCTGAATGATACATAAACATGTATTTAATAGTGCAATATATGTGACAAATATTTTCTTGCTGAGAAAAGGCCTTACTTTCTCGGAATGTGGGTCTTTACCAAAGTTAATTACAGCAAAGCACCGCTTAATTTTTAATTCAGGCATTTCGTTAAAGTGCCTATATCACTTGTGGGATCTTAACGGATTTGAATAGGGCTTGAAAAATTTGTTTATAAGTTATACAACCTTTTTTGATAAAATCAAATAGTTTCGAAAATACGTCGGTTTGGGGGACTGGGACTCAGGAATGATTTGCAAACACGCCGTCTTTTATAATGTAAACATGAAGAGTTTTACTGGCGATATAGTTTGCGCTTTTCAAGAAAAAAATGCAGGAACGGTGCGTTGTGTATGGCTGTAGCATCTGGGCGAGTTTTTCTCAAAATATTTTACGTTATTGGAAGATCGAAGTAAAATTACAATTGATTATATCATAATTTTCTTGTATGATTGCATGGCGACTTTAGTAATTATAATAACTTGTAGGTACACCACGTAAGTATTAAATACTGCAAAGCTTTCGGTCCGTTAACCCGGACCTTCATCAGTGCAATTACTTGAATACACGTTTGCGCGTCACTTAAATATCATGTTAGTCGTGATTAGTTTGCTCGCGCTATTAATTAAACCGTTTCATTTAATTAAGTTCTAATCAATGCGCGCGCCCTAGACAAGTATTTGACTAAGAGACACCGAAAAGAGCACGCCACGTACTATTAAGTGGCTTTCCCTCTTGGACGATAGTTTGATGTTTATAAATTTCAATAGATTCTCTCATTTTACGAGAGACAGTAAACTTATCGTTTGCTAAAATGGTAGCATCGTTCCATTTAATGCGATGATCATAAGTCCACGCATGGTGAGCTACTGCAGACTTATCCAGTTTACCTTTCTCGCAGTTCGTCTTATGTTCTTTAAGACGTATTGAGAGATTTCTACCGGTCTCTCCAATGTAAACCAAACCACATTCACATGGAATGCGGTACACACCAGGTTTCTGTTGTTCATCGACGCCATCCTTGTGTGTGTAAAGAGCGCGAAACAATTTGTTATTGCTAGAATGGTAAACTTGTATTCCAACTTCTTTTAAAATCCTAACGATTTTATATGAAGCTGGGCCAATATATGGTAAACAGACAGAGGATAGATATTCCGTGTCTTGCCTCTGTCTTTGCTGTTCATTCATAGCATGTTCTATGAATTTCTTAGGATAACCATTCATGTGCAGAACATCCTTCAAATGCTTTAACTCTGAGTCAATGCTATTTGAATCACAAATTGTTTTGGCACGGTTGATTAATGTTTTGCATACTGATCTTTTAATGCTAGGATGGTGAAATGAACTATAATTCAGATATCTGTCAGTGTGTGTTGGTTTTCTATAAACTTTATGGCCCAAAGTCCCGTTCTCTTTTACATCAAATAAGATATCTAAGAAAGATATAGAGTTATCTTTCTGTATTTCTAATGTGAATTTAATTGAAGGGTGTATACTATTAATGTGATCTAAAAATTTATTCAAATTTTCTAAACCATGCGACCAACTACTTAATGTGTCATCTACATATCTAAACCAGAAACCAGGTTTTAAACATGCTGTAGCTATAGCTTTCTTTTCAAATTCTTCCATGAATAAATTAGCCATAACTGGTGATAAGGGACTACCCATAGGAGCACCATGAGTTTGCTCGTAGTATTTCTCCCGCCACTGAAAACTAGTTGTATTCAGGCACAATTTCAGTAGTTCATATATACTCTCAGGAGAAAGGCTAGTCCTTTTAGAGAGGGTATCATCTGAAAGCAGCCTGTCTTTCGCAATGTTACACGCCTCATCTACTGGTACATTAGTAAATAAACTAACTACGTCGAAACTGACAAGAATTTCATTTTTACCTAATCTAACATCTTGCATATTCGTAACAAATTCTTTAGAATTAACTACATGATGTTCAGTTTGACCAACAACTGGTTTTAAAATTCTAGCAAGATATTTAGCTAAATTATAAGTCGGTGAACCTTGGGATGCAACTATAGGCCTAAGAGGTACACCTGATTTATGTATTTTGGGTAAACCATAAAATTTTGGGCACACACTACATGAAGGTCTCAAATAATCATGAAGGTTTTGAGACAAAATACCTGATTTCCTAAGTTCAGATAGTTTAGAACATACTTTACGTTCAATATTGGCTGTAGGATCACGTTTTAGCTCTTTATATGTTGGAGTTTCAAGAAGAGCATGGATTTTACTTTCGTACTCTGCACGATTTAATAAAACCGTAGCATTACCCTTATCAGCCTTTAAAATATGTATAGACTTATCTGCCCTTAGGTTCCTCACTGCATCCTTCTGCTCCTTGGAAAGATTAGACTTGGGTAAAGTTGTACGTCGCAAGACCTCAGTTACTTTAACACGAATGTTGGATGCTATATCATCTCTGAGATGATTCAACTTTGGTTCCAGATGTTGAACGATTTCTTCTTTAGGAATCTTGTGTGGTACAACAGCGAAATTTAAACCCAATGCCAAGACTTCTTCTTCAACCGGCATAAGTTTTCGCGCACTTTGGTTAACAACAGTGCGTCTTAGAGTGTCAACAGCCAAATCTTCTTGTCTTCTTTTATCTTTTGATCTTTCGGACGTCAATCTTGTGTATTTGGCGATCTGTGTTGAGCGAGCTTTATTAAAGGTACGCGTAAAAGAAGCATCTATCATTCTTTTTGCAACAGCAAAATGTTCTTCTTCAAAAGTTAACCAAAGTTCTTCTGTAAGAGTAGCGATGTTGTCATCCACTCCGCTTAGTTGTTTACGCGTCCAAGCAATTCTTTCCCGTAACAGTGCCAACTCGGCTTTCTTCAAGATTTTGCCTGCATGCTTAGTATGGAAACAATTAAACATACGCAAACCTTTAGGAACAACTTCGTTGTCTCGACACCTTTTCAGGAAGGTTAAGTTGTTGATTAATCTTGAGCGTTGTTGTGAAAGCCGGTCAAGTCGTTTAAATGATTTATGAAAATACTCTCCATAGAGTTCTGTAATAATTTTCTTGTATGATTGCATGGCGACTTTAGTAATTATAATAACTTGTAGGTACACCACGTAAGTATTAAATACTGCAAAGCTTTCGGTCCGTTAACCCGGACCTTCATCAGTGCAATTACTTGAATACACGTTTGCGCGTCACTTAAATATCATGTTAGTCGTGATTAGTTTGCTCGCGCTATTAATTAAACGTTTCATTTAATTAAGTTCTAATCAATGCGCGCGCCCTAGACAAGTATTTGACTAAGAGACACCGAAAAGAGCACGCCACGTACTAAGAAATTCATAGAACATGCTATGAATGAACAGCAAAGACAGAGGCAAGACACGGAATATCTATCCTCTGTCTGTTTACCATATATTGGCCCAGCTTCATATAAAATCGTTAGGATTTTAAAAGAAGTTGGAATACAAGTTTACCATTCTAGCAATAACAAATTGTTTCGCGCTCTTTACACACACAAGGATGGCGTCGATGAACAACAGAAACCTGGTGTGTACCGCATTCCATGTGAATGTGGTTTGGTTTACATTGGAGAAACCGGTAGAAATCTCTCAATACGTCTTAAAGAACATAAGACGAACTGCGAGAAAGGTAAACTGGATAAGTCTGCAGTAGCTCACCATGCGTGGACTTATGATCATCGCATTAAATGGAACGATGCTACCATTTTAGCAAACGATAAGTTTACTGTCTCTCGTAAAATGAGAGAATCTATTGAAATTTATAAACATCAAACTATCGTCCAAGAGGGAAAGCCACTTAATAGTACGTGGCGTGCTCTTTTCGGTGTCTCTTAGTCAAATACTTGTCTAGGGCGCGCGCATTGATTAGAACTTAATTAAATGAAACGGTTTAATTAATAGCGCGAGCAAACTAATCACGACTAACATGATATTTAAGTGACGCGCAAACGTGTATTCAAGTAATTGCACTGATGAAGGTCCGGGTTAACGGACCGAAAGCTTTGCAGTATTTAATACTTACGTGGTGTACCTACAAGTTATTATAATGATTATATCATGTTTGACAAGAACTTGGTTCCTGAGTCCCAGGCCCCCGAGCAGGCAAATCGTCATGTTTAGATGTAAATATTTCCTAAACTATTTAACTATATCGAAAAGGGTTGTAGAACTTATAAACTAATTTTCCCACAAGTGATATAGGCACTTTAAAAATAATTATTTTGGGCTAGAGACAGGGTTGGGTGGAGGTGAGGGTTGAGGTTCGGGCTGGAGTGGAAACATTGAATTGTAAACAAACTGGGCGATTACTGAGGGGGGTTGAAGCAAGTGCTTTTTACTTTTTCTGAATTATGAGCTGAAATACTTGACGCCGTGAAATTAAAGCTATTAAAATGGTATATTTGGCGAAGAAATTTCGAGACTTTAGCTTAAAGGGAAATATATAAAAAATATTTGAAAATTTCCGGTTTTTTGCCGGTTTGTAATTGATTTTGGTCTGCTTTTGTATTTCCTTTGTAGCTTAAGTCTTGAAATTTCCACACAAAATATAACTTTTGAATAGCTTTAATTTGACACACAGCTCAACGCCTCTTTTGACTTTACGCTACTATAGGGATCTTTGTCAGGGTTAGTTGTTCCAGTTTATCTACAGTTCAATGGGCGGGAGTGACGGTTAGGAAAGGGAGTAAAGGGTAGGTGCTGGTGGTTGAGGGTGGTGTTTGGATAAGGTTGGCATTAATCCCGTGTGGTTTAGTATGCGATTTGTGTGATTTTTTGCACAATTCCCATGCAGCAGGGTAATTGAATTTGAACAGCGATGTTGATGAGTATAAAACATAAGATGGTGTACAATTTGCAGCTTACAGACAAAATACTTTGCCACTGAAACTAATATAGATGTGAGCAATTTATCTTGATTTAAGTAAGGTGGCTTTAGAAACTGATCTATGCACATTTAACTGGGTTGATTAAAGATGATATTTTAGTGGTTTATAGTCTTTAATTCGCTATCCCTACCTTTTTCCACAGTCATATAGTATGTCCGTCCTGAGTATCTCTGTTTCTCCGGTAAGAACATCGATCTCTACCTCAGTACATGTACTGGCGTAGACGTTGTAGTTGAATTGGTGACTCTTCCGAGGAAACACCCTACACGAGCGAATGCAAAATTGCACTAAATTTAAAAAAATTGGGAAAGCAGGATAACGGTTGAAAGCTTTTGATTCAGTGTTACTACGGTAGAAATTTACGCTGTGAAAAGTGGTTAGCTCAGATTCATTTATTGGGTTATGGTTTCTCATTGATTAAAAGCATTGAAAACTTGGTTAAAACAACGATTTTTTTGTTGTTTTTACCAAAGAGAATTAATGAATACGAGATCAATCTGAGACAACTGATTTCAAATTAGTTGTTTTAATAATCTGTTCCCACAGAGTTGCAATATCGTGACAGCATAACTCTAATGTGTTCTTTCTAAAGGATAGAGATCCAGGAAGGATAATCTTCAATTAATCCATTCTTACTACAGAAGAACACCTAAAGGGTGTCATTTGCCAAAAGGTATTTGTCGAATACATACATGTGCTTTGCGGATAAATCTACGCCAACTTCAAAACACTTCTCGATAATTTCAACCCATGTTGAACTGTTTGGCATGTCTTTTGCAACCGGCTCTATCCTCTTCTTCAGAGCAGAACAGCAATTTGCAACTGCCTACACGAGTAAATAAATGAAGGAGGACTTATTTAGCACCATAAATGCCCTCATTATTTTGTAAATCTGCTGATTACTAACAACGGATTAAATTGTAAATGACAATCGCATGTAGTAATTAATGTTCGATTTCAGGCTGATTTGAGGTATACTGTATTTCTGAGCCAAAGATAATAAGACGCCCGACGTATGAAGTAGGCTATTGCCACGCGTTATTTAAACTGTTTTCACTGACCTAGATACAACCTAGATGGCAAAATCATCGAGATGAGCTGAAATTCCCTGAAATGGCGAATTTTTAATTCCAATATGGCGAAGATGGTTTCAAAAAAGTAGCGTCAGGCAAGAATTGCCAAAATATATAAATTTTACTGCGTGTTTTGGTCTATGAAACAGGCTTAACCTACTATAGGTAGTAGCTACTTCCGCGCGGTGGTAACTGGCTTCTCTTCTCTTTTTTATTAACTTTGTTTATAACTTTCGTATTCTAATTGGAACCTGAGTATTCATATAATATTAGGTTTTTACCTCGCAGCATAACTCACTGGTCATGCTGGCCCACGATGCAGCACCTTAGGTGAAAATTGATAGTATTAGACACCTAAAAATTTCTTGTTACGCCAATATAATTGCACGCATTAATTATAGGATACTTAAATAAGGAGGTAATTAAATTAATAATGGTAATTGCACTGATTGGAGTGCAATTTGGTGTGAAATCAAACGCGTGATTACAAAATCGCATGACCGCGACGCCGAGTGTGATTTGTAATCACAAGATTGATTTCTCACCAAAATTGCACGACACGAAGTGCAATTTCCTCTTTATTTTATTCATTTTGAAGTCATACAAAAAATTAAACAAATTCAAAACGATTTATTGGCTGAAAGAACCGTAAACGGTGTAAAATGCGAGTAATTTTCATCTATTTTTGTCAAGAAATTTTGCCGGGCATTTAAAAATTCAAAATAGTAAAATTTTGTGCCATTTTCCCTTGTGATGTGATTGGATAGTTACAATGAAACACTAAATCTGATTGGTTGTTGTGGTGAAGAGCTTTAATCTTATTTGCTTATAAATGATGAGATTAATGCTAAAAGATTTGCGAATTTATTATATTCATTTCAAAATCAATGGTGTTTCTTGCAATCTGATTGGTTAAAAATAGGGTGATTAATTCCCAAATCGCACTATTTTTGAGCATTAATCACATCATTTATAAGCCAATAAGATTGAAGCTCTGCACCACAATAACCAATGTGATTTAGTATTTCAGTGTAACTATCCAATTAAATAACAGGGGAAAATGGAACAAAACTTTATTATTTTGAATTTTCAAATGCCCCGCAAAATTTCTTGACAAAAATAAATGAAAATTACTCACATTTTGCACCGTTTACGGTTTTTCAGCCAGTAAATTGTTTTGAATTTGTTTAATCTTTTGTATGATTTCAAAATGAATAATTTATAATAAAGTGGAGATTGCACTTTGTGTCGTACAATTTTGGTGTGAAATCAAACTTTTGATTACAAATCACACTCCCGCTTCGCGGTCGTGCGATTTTGTAATCACGCGTTTGATTGGCACCAAATTGCACTCCACTCGATCAGATCATTACCATTATTAATTTTTTTAATATACTTCATCACAAAATGTACATGCGCAGTCACGTGATGCTCAACAGCCTAGCAATGAATGAATATGCAGGCAAAAGTTTTTTGTCAACTAATAAACATACAATAAGCAGTCCCTCAAGGCCAATGTATAGGATGTATAGCATACTAATTTCAGGGGATGTGCTATCAATTTCAGCTGGGACTAGATGATTGGTGCACAGAAGGTGGGATCCTTTGTGGCCCTAACTTAATAAATTTCTTTCATCTTACCATTGGGATTCATAAAACTCGTGGCAGGTCTGACAGATATTTGATCAACTTTCAGTCCATGACCAAGAGTGTATGCTGCAACTTGACAGGCCTAGGAGTAGAAAAAAAATGTAATGTGATTTTTTTCGAGTCTTAGGAAGACAACACACTATTCCTGGCTTACAGCGATTTTTTTTCTTTGTTTCGTCGCAGATAGAGAATTAAAAACCGTATAATGCCACAATTGTTATTGAAATCAAGAAAAATCAGACGTTTAAGCCCCGTACAGACGTGCAAGTTTTCCTTGACACGTTTTCTTGACCACTTCACTTGCTCGTGTGTATATTTGGCGAACAAGTTTTCCTTGCAAAGTTTTATTTGCTCGTTTGTACGTGATACGTTTTAAGATAATATGAGCATATTTTACAATAATATGAGCCGTGATAAAATGAGTATATACGAACGAATCTCAAAACAAAAAAATTAAAAAATTAAAAAAACCAGCTCGATTGGCACGAAAATATTGTTGCGCATTTCTCTATTGCGCAATTCCTTGTCAAGTTTTCCTTGACTGCGGTATACACGATCATTTTTCCTTGTTGAAAAGCTAGCATGACTAGCTTTTGAACGAGGCTACTTGTCAAGAAAAACTTGTCAATTTCCTCGCGTACACACGAACAAATAAAACTTAGCAAAGAAAAATTGGCAAGGGAAACTTGCCCGTCTGTACGGGGCTTATTAAACCTCGTACAGACGGGCAAGTTCTCATCGCCAAGTTATATTTGCTCGTGTGTATACGCGAAAAATTTGACAATTTTTCCTTGACAAGTTTTACGATAAAACGAGCCATGATAAAATGAGTACATGCACGACCGCGAATCTCAAAACAAAAACAAAAAATGATAAAAACTGAAAAACCAGTTCGATTGGCGAGTTCAAGTTATAAAATAACCACACCATGGTAGTGTTCCTACTGTAATAAGTTATAGGGGATATTTAAAACGTAGGCACGAGAAGAAACCGGAAGTGTACATGATCCCAAAACGGAAACGCTAACACTTCGCACAATGCACAAGGAACAATGCACAATGAAGCAATATAGTTGTAAATTATATAATCTCATGGGCGGCGCTATTAGTAAATTTATTGTGATTTTGATGTGAGTTGAGTTGATGACTTGGTCTGGGGCGCACAATAATAAAATAAATAGTGAACGAAAACTTGTGGTTATATTGGTCCAAAATATTGAGCTATTCCCCATACGGCCCCGACGACCCTGCTGGTATAAAAGTGAACTTTATAGCAACATAAAAAGGGGTCGTTTAACACTAGTTTGATTTCAAAGAGCGAATTAAATTTTCCGTGCTTCGATAGCCTGATCCAAACACGGTATTCGACCAATCAAAACACGCGTTATACACATGTTATTCTATGTTATGTTATATGCATTCATAAATATTTTAGAACTATAGTAGAAAATTGTTGTTTAACAACGTGCAAGCTTGTCGTCGTTCAAAATTTGTTTTCATTTTTACCAATTCAAAACACTGGCAGAATTTAATAGTTTGTACGTGATTAATGATACCTTGGTATTGATACCCTGACCCATTTCGATTCCTGCATGTGATATCGAAACTGTTCCATCTTTGCGAAATATTGCAACGTATGCAGTAAATCGACTTCCCGGTGCCCGTGTTATGCCATATCTCAACGGGACGAGACTAATGCCACGTTTACGCCAACGGTTCTCCTTAAGACGTAAGAGGAAAGGAGACATACATTAGAAGATGAACAGTAAGTAGTCAAATGGAGAAGATAGAGATGGAGGCGGGGAGGACTGGAAAAATTCGTGGGGCTGAGAGAGAGATAAGGAGGGAAATATAGTGCAACAAACGGATGGAAAAGTCACGAGTTTCAACCGGGGGGGGGGGCGGGGCAGGTGCAGGGGATGCGCGCCCTCCGAACGTCTTTAGCACCACCATTAAAAAAATTGGTAAATGTACTGTAGGCTCTTATAATATTATTATAGGATAGAGCATTGTACAATAAGGGTGGTTGTATAGTAAGAGTGCAACTTATAACTTCAAGGGTATTATACATATTAAATTAATACTGCCTCCATTTTACCAACTGAGGGTGTGCCATTTCTTTTTTTGACATTATTGAAAATATTGCAAGGAGGTACTGTAATTGCCCAATCGTTTGCTAGCACACTGATGCACCCCCTAGAAAAATCTGCACCACTCCTGTCAGATGAGTATTGATCCACCCATGAGTCTCAATCAAACATACTTTGTTAAATTTCGCAATTTCTCTTTTTCTTCTATCAAATTCACTTGACTCTTTGAGGTCTGGAAATATCAATCAATCCCGAGGTTAAGATCGCGTTTCTAGAAAAGAGTTCCTAGAGTTCCTGAAATTACCTTGCCATATTTTTGAGATGTTGCAGTATTCTAGAGGCTGTTTATAATATGTTATCTGAAAAATGCAGAGTCAAATAGTCAATATTTTCAAACTGAATCACGCATTTTGAAATGCATTCTGCATAATATCATCACGACTGACTTAAGGCGAAAAGAGAATTTTCCATGTTACCTGTCCTTGTTTGTAGAAGTTGATTTGCCGTATTTCATCCGGGCTTTTGTTTAGCACTTTTGCCACGTGATTCATCATTGTCTCGGTGACAAAAATCGCTGGCATTGTTCCTGAAAATATATTACAGCGATGTTATTAAAAAACCATTAGTTTTTGAGGCTCCAATTCATTCATAAAATACATTGTCTAGGTCTATTTTCAACTAAATGTTCGTGAAGACGATTAATTTTCTTCCGGTTGAACAGTCATGTTTAACAGGCTAAAGGCCCGTACACACGGGCACGTTTTCCTTGACGTCCGTACACACGAGCGTTTTTCCTTGTTGAAATGCTGGCGTAACTCCGGCAATATCATACACTTAATGTATGCTTCCGAGGGAAATAGTGAGTTTTTTCCCAAGAGTTTGAAACATTGAGACTCGAGAGAAAAGAAAAACTCACTATTACCCGAATTAGTGTACATTAAGTGTTTTGTTATATAGGAACAAAAACATACACGTTACACAACAATTTCATTTAAAAAAACCACTTTACTTTGTAATGAAAAGAAGTGGGAAACAGTTTTTCACTTGTTTCCCTGGCGGGAAACATGACATTCATTTAAAGTCATGTGACTACGAGTGAACCAATCACATTTAAAATACACAGTGTTATTTTAGCAAAAATGTTTACTTGGTGCACGTGTGAAGGCATTTGTTGCAGTGTTTGTCTTGCATGGTACGCCATGAAATTTCCAGTTTTCACAATAATATACTAAAGAGAAAATGAAAGCAGAAATTAACTTTTGCAAGTAACACTTGGAGAGAAAGCAGTTCACATGCAGCGAACCGGAATATATTTAGTAAAAGCCTATAAAACCCGGGCTAAGATCTTGCAATGGGCAAACGTTATAAACTAGGCTGCAAGTTATTAGTAAATGAGATTTATTAGGAAGTGCCAGAATATGAAATGTCCCATATTCGAACCATCATAAGGTCGATGCTGTACCCGTTGAACATTTTGCAGAGTCGGTCTTTTTGAATAATATGTAATTATTTTAATTTATTCAAAAACTATACGATTGGTGCTTTAGAACCAGCCCGTATACCAAGGCCTTTTCCTTCCTCTATGCATTTTCAGAAAAAGGCCCTGGGAACGAGGATGGAAGTAGCCTAACCCACCATTGTCAATGTATGCCGCCATGTTGGTTATCGATATCTCAGTAGCTGCTAGACCACACCCTGTATATAAGGTGATATCAACAGCGTTTAATATCCCCTCGTCCGTAACGCCAACCTATATAACGATGCATACATACATACAATTCCCGATAACTAGAAAAAGTTTTTTCTCAATTTTTGAGAGTTAAATTGTCAGATATGTTAGTGAAAAGTTACGTAGTATCGCCTTATTATACCTTGTATTTTGCCAGGTAAGGAAATCTTTTTCCAACCATTGTCATGTTGGTTTTAAGGTTCATTCTTAAACGAACTGGTCTTAAAAAGTGAAACAATTCTTAAGACTTCCAGAAAGGTAAAGGTGTTCCACAGACGGATCTACACATACGCCTATTTTTTTCTGTTTGGGATTTTTCAGTACAACAACTTTAGTTCCGATCATTTAGAAGAATACTCAATTAATATTGTGTTGAAGGCCGTTTATATACTTGCAATTTTTTCTGCGATCTAATTATTTTGCGCTTTTTTTACTTTTGACTCATGCGAACGAGTGGATTAGTTACAGATCGATCAAAAGAAGGAAATCGCAGGAAAAATTGCAATTGTTAACTAACTGGATATGCAGACAGTTTTTCAAATTTTAGGAAATAATTCAGGTCAAAATGTTGACAAAGCTTCTGTTTCAAGCCTCCAACTTCCCTGGGGAGAATTCTCTAGGGTCCGAAGCCTAAAACCGGTAATATTTCACCAGTTTCATTATTAACAAAAATATTAAAAATTATTAGAGACAAGGAATAAGGGAAAAAAGGAAAAGTGATCTTCCAACAGGCCGTATGCATGCACTATATAATTAAATATAAATTAATAATTAAAGGCTGGGCGTGGATTTCCAAGATTAGTATATTCGCTTAAATTTGGTTTTGAAGCTTGAGATGTTACTGGATTATTTCAGCTCGTTTACATATATTAGAAACAAAGAGCGGCCCTAGAGCAGAGCCAACACAGCGCGGTTCCTGTTACCATAAATATTTTGAGTAGGAAATCATGAAGCGTTCAAAGTTTTTTTAAGTCTAAGAATACGACACCGTTTAGTTTACCGACATCGATATTTCATGATACCATCAACTGGTGTTGTCTATAGCAATGCAGTAACCGTAAAATAGCATGCGTGGTCTAAATCTGTGCTGAGAATTAGTTAACAAATTTGAAGACATCGAGATAATCATAGATCTGGTTGTGTATCGGCTTCTCCATAATTCATGCTACAATTGAGATGACAAATATTGGCCTATAATTAGAGGTACAATTTTTGGCCCCAGCTTTATGTTACTCTTCCATTTACATGGAAATATGACAATGCAAATTGATTGATTAAAAATTAATGAGAGTGAAAGAGCAATAACGGAGGCAGCAATTTTTAAGAATTTGGCTGAAATGTTATCAATATCTGATGCCTTCAAGGCACTTAAATTTTGAAGCAATCTTAGAGTTTACAATTCCGAGATCTCTTTAAAGAAAGATAGCGGGCTATTTGAGTGGTCAAACGGCGCAACATAACGTTCTGGAGATGTATTTGTGTATAGGGTTTATCGTTCGATCATTGTCCACCCAAGTCCGTAAAATACTGATTGAATGTATTCGGTTGTCAGTGGTATTTATTGTCACACCTGCATGCCTCATATTTTAACTCATGTATCTTGCTTTCCTTACGGGATTTATTCAGCAATTCATTTTCAGCAAGATTCCCAGAGTTACTTTGTAATTCATCTTGATAATGCTGACGAACAGTATCCTTAATTGATGTTATATTTCCCGATAATCACCGAGGCTTCGGCAAATAATTGTTAAATATTCGTCATTTGTCATTACGTCATTGTTTTTATGCTCTCTACCGTGTGACTTACTTCACTAATGTTTTGGCATTTGCCGAGAGAAACATTCACTTAAAAACAAATTTATTAATTTATATCAATTAAAGCCAACAAATTACTACTAAAACGCAGTGGCATAGCCAGCCCGACAATTTAGGGACCGTTTAGCCCGGTTATCCGAGATTCAACGAAGCGTGAGAGGACTTTGAGGTATTGAAATAAGTCTTTATGACACCAAACAAACACATGCTATTGTTGTGGTGATTATACGACTGCCAGAACCTCAAAGTCATCTCACGCTTCGGTGAATCTCGGGTATAACCAGGCTCATGTAAACAGCCTCTTAGTTATGCTATGCTAATAATTATTTTGGTGTTCATTGACTGTGAAAACAATGAATTTCTATAATAACATAAAATTTGCATAGCATGACTAAATCATCAGATTGGCTACGCTACTGCTAAAACGGAAGAAATAGCAGCATTATTAGAACATAAATATTGTTCCCTTTCAGAGTTAAAATGCATTCTAATCGCGGGCGCATTAATAACACTGTACTATGCTTTGTTTGCATTTTTTTAAATCAGGATTAACACATTTTTTTATCCTGGCATGTAGACGTAGTCATGATAATTGTGACATAATCATACTAAATTACCCTATTATTTGATCTAAATGTCCTCTACTGTTGAAACAAACAGTGGCGTAGCCAGCCTGACAATTTAGTCATGCTATGCTAATATTTTGGTGTTCATCGACTGTGAAAACAATGAATTTCTAATTAATAATGGTAATAAAAGAAAATATGCATAGCATGACTAAATCGTCAGGCTGGCTACGCCACTGGAAACAAATGGATCAGTGCTTCTATCCCTAACTCGGGCAACGTAGATTTGGTGCATCTTAAACTCACTAATTTCTGGGCAAAATACCTGTTCATGACGTAAGCAGCGACAGCACATGCTGCCGAATTAACTCCCTCACGAATAGCCTTTCCACCGAAAGCACCTCCGCATCGTCTGCATGTCACGTGAACACTAAAGGAGTAAGCGCATGTCAGCAAATTAATTGTATTAAATACTCAATATGCTATGGGAAATTAGGACAGAACTTAAAAATGTCTCTGCAATGATGACAGTTTTCGACTGTTCAAACGATTGAATCTAATTCATTTTAGATCGATGTTTTGTAATCTGTTGACTTGCGATGTACTTGGGCAGCAAATCGACTGCCAACTTTATCAATAACGGGCTAAATTCCATACGTCAAAAGTGAATTGGATCCGATAAAATAGGAGGGACTATAAAGTCTGTTCGCTTTTTTTGGGTAGGTATACTAAGCCAGATTTCCACCAGACTGAATTTTTCAATCGAACAAAATTCTTAGCTTGAATTTCGTTTCAATTGTGACCACTACGGTCCGCTACGGGAAACTTTCGATCGAAAAATTCAGTCAAGTGGAAAACCGCCCCAACACTTATAACTGACATGCATAATATAACTCTAGACAGTCTTGATAAAACTTTGAAAGTTCTGACCAGCGTGGTTTGGATTTTCTTGGTTAGACCGGGGTTCGTAAGAAATAGTTTTTGATCATTTATTTTTTGATTATTAGGAAAAACAGAATTGCAGTCGATAGAGCAATTTGCAATAGCGTAAACAGCCTGAAGTTTTATATTAGTCCTGCTATATATCAGTGTGGTGTTCATTGACTGTGACACAACGAATTATTTATTATACTCAATGCTTGAGATTTAATTTGCATAGTAAGACAGAATCGTCAGGCTTCGAGTCTAATGACTAATGGCTAACTTGGCGCTGCGTGCCGCGTCGGCTATCCGCGCATATATACGACGAGAGTGAGCGGAATAACTGTTTATTTACTAATTATATACACAAGCGCTGGATAAAAGCAACTTTAAAATTAATTCGTAATTTGAACAATAGCGAATAAAAAATTGAATAATTAAATTCCGTATCGTATCTTTTTAATACAGAAAAACAGAAAGAAAAGCGTATATTTAGTAAACCTTTAGATTTTGACCTACGTTGAATACTTGTTTGTCTTTGTCCAGGGGCGTAACTAGAACGATAATCGGGGGTGGGGGGTGGGGGTGAATATTCATACATTCAGTTCTGCCCGACGGATTTCTATTGTAAGCTATTGCAATTACAAAAGAAATCCGTTGGGCAGAACTGGATATATGAATAGCCTCCCCCCCCCAATTATCGTTCTAGTTACGCCACTGTCTTTGTCGCCCTTTCGATGCATTTGTAGTACTTTTATCAAGGAAGACATCAATTTCAACGTCGCAGTTTGGTCCAAATCCTGCCGTCATTTGTTTACGTTTCTCTACTAGACAGATATGAGCTAATATGTCTATAGTAGAGAACCAATCAGATTGCACGTTAGCTAATATCCATGCGCTTGTGTATAGAATAATTATTGAAGTTACCTTTTCTGGGGCATATTTAAAACTTGGGCGACAGCTTTTTGAGTATTATCTGTGAATTGCGCTGCAGAATACACTTCCATCTCTTCCTCGCCGGGGATGCACAAACATATCTGAAAATAGAAATAAATTACTCATATTACACATCCATGGTTGGTTTAATTAATTATAAGTCCATAATACAACGGTGGGAAAATACTTACGTGTGTTTCCATATGGAGATGATGCTGAGTCCCAAGTCTGATCTCGCCACTTATGACATGCGCAGAAGCTGCCATGAAGGCTAAAAGATAAGTAAATAGCATAAATTTGAACAGATGACAGGGAATCGACAGTTTGGATTTTTTCTGCTATTCCCTTACCATCAGGGTCGCCGTAAATGTTGCGGACAATTTTTTCCGAAATGAAAGACTGGGCCCTAACTGCATCGTCTATAGTGATTATTGGTGGTTTGCAATCCGTGTATGTAATTTTAACCTTCTCTGCTGCCTCGTCTGCCAAGCTTTGACTTACTAGAACAAAGAATGACCTTATTTGAGAGATAGAATACCTGCATTTGTACATGGCACGGGTCGCAAAGCTTTTCCCATCTTGTGTGAAGTTTCTGAAAAATGATATCCCGAATGTACGTGGTATTTCTGTAATGTGTGGGTTTCATTGGAAAAAATTAACACATGCAGGTATTGTCTAAGCTGTCTGAAAATGACATTTGAAATGTGTTGGTCAATTACCCTTTCTCACTATGACTATTCATTTATTTTTGGGGGTACTTTCAATGTTCTCAAATGGGTTTAAAAGCTTATAACAACATGATAGGCAACTTTTTTTACAACCAGCAGAGCATTTGAAGAACGGTTGTTTTGAAGAATCAACAGACCATTTACAGAATGGAATTCTAGTTTTCGAAAAAAGTGTCCCCAAAATGGCGGTATTTCGTCATCGTGAGAAAGGTTAATTGAGCTCAATAAGGTGGCATTCAACAATGCGTCTTTCCCTAGATTTGATTGTCCTTTTCCTGAAGTTATCTGGAACGAAATCATCTAATGTAGTTAAATAAATATTCTACGCACAATGAAATACTTTATTTATTATTAATATGTAGACAATTCAAATTACCTGCAATAATAACCCCGACACCCTGTCCTGCATAGCCAACATCCTCGTCACAAAATATCGTTTCTTTCGTGTCAAAATTAAAAGCCCCAACGAAATTGTTCTCGCCCGGTATGTCTTTTGCCGTGATAAATTTCAGCACACCAGGCATGTTCTGTAAATATGGTAATGATCAATTTTTTCTTAAACTAGTCAGTCAAACTGTCAATTTTGTACCTTAATGTGTATAAGACTCTAAATTTTAACTAGGAGCTACATATGAGAATAACATAAAAAAATTAATTACTTTGGACTACGTGTAAAAATTATTATTATATGGCTTTTCAAAATCTTCTATTCTGATTGGTTATGACGAGCGGTCCATAAAAGCCTATACCCGGGACAGTGAACCTGCTAGTAGTATCCCGGATGTCTCATGCAGTTGAGTCATATAATAAACAGATTATTGATCTCGCTTGTTCGGTCTGTACTGTGAATTATCAGATCGAGGTTAGTCTTTCATGAACCTCGCACCTTCGTCGCTCGGTCCTTACTAAAAAGCCTCGGACTGATATTTTACAGCACAGACCTCACACTTGGTCAATAATCAGTTAATATGCTATCATACCGTAGCTTCAGACGGGTCAATGCTTGCAATTTTACAGTTACCCTAGAAAAAGAACGTGGATAACAATTTAAATCTCGCACTCTATATAAATTTATAACATACCTATATTATTACCCGCAATTAAATTACAATTTTTATTTAATAACCACTGCTTCTGCAATAAAATTCAAATGTAAGAAATAACTCAAATTGGTTCAATTCATTCCACAGTTCTACACGTACTAGGAAATTACGAATAATTTACCTGTTTACCTTATATATATATATAGGATCAATGTCATGTGGATTACCCAGAATTTAAAATCGGTTGCAACTATTTCATAAAGTCTATAGCTACCTTTGCTGTGGTTACGAAGGCGCCATAAACCTCTCCTAGACGTTTTGGTATATCATCGGTGAACTGTGCCTCTCCCGAAGCCTGAAATAGTAATAACCTAATGTTACCTTTCTAAAGGTCTGTTCACATGATCCAATTTTGTAGGATCCAATTCACTTCTGATGGATGTTTTATAGTCTGTTGACTAGCAAAGTATATGGGGGCAGCAAATCGACTAAAGCTCGCTTTGCACTAGGCGAATTCATTCGCGCGACGGGAAGCGACATCTGAAATCCAGTGATGTAATTGGTTTGCGAAACAATTCGCCGCGAAAAAGTAGAATCGCTTCCTACTTTTTATCTGTTCGTGCAAACAAATTCGCCTAGTGGAGAACGGGCTTAAAACCAATGCAGTGCTGCTTTCTATTTTTTAACTGTGTAAATGAAGCAATCTGATTGGCTGAGAAGTGTTTCACAGCGGGCCGGAATTTTGCATCCGACCCGCTGTGAAAAATGTAAACAAAACGACAAAACCAAAGCAACGTACGGCTAAAATGTGTGAAAACCTTTCTGGAAAAGGCCTAGAGATTGTTAAAAATAAAAAAACATGCCCAAAACTTTTTTTTGTATTTTTAATCGATTTGCCGTGATTTAGTTGCTATGGTAACAATATTTGCCATTTCATTGGCAGTTTTCCGACTAGGATATTCTTATAAGGAGTTGTTGACGTATTAAAATTCTAAAATGGCTTGCAGAATTTATAGTTTTTATAGCTTATTCATTAAATATCTTGTATTTTTTGTGTTTGATAAAGTCAGTAAGATCCAGGTTAAAAATAATCACGTTATTCACCGGCAGCTTCGGTCCGGATACAGAGTTTTTTGCATTCGGACCTCTTGCCAATAAATAGCATATATATCAGCAACAAACTACATTCCATATAATTCATGTCTGAAGTGAATTGGATCCGACAAAGTTGGATCGTGTGAACGGGCCTTAAGCTTCATTGGAGGCAAATCAAGACATTCACAAAATTTGGTGAAATTATCAATCAATAAGAGATTATCCTCATTGGACGTCTAAGGGGGCAAATATACACAACGACATAAGTATTGATTTACACATTATGAATTATGAAGTTTCCTTTTTACCTGTAATTTCGCCGACATCTTCGGAATTGGTTGAGTCACTGGGTAGTCATTTGCAGTTGTATCATAACTTTGTTGTCCGGAAGAGATTGGCCGTACGAAAGGCACTGCGGCTGACCTAAATCTTTCATTCGCTTTGTCACCAAGCAGTGCGAGGTACAACTATACATTAAAGAAGAGAATGATAAGTAAATGACATATAAGTTTCCTTAAACTAGCATTCATAAGGAAATCGATTTTTCATTTGCGTAGTTAAAATGCCTCCCATAACTGAAATAGTCCTAAGAATTACAAGTACGGTGTCCTAGCTGATAGTGTCCCCCGCAGAAAGTGTCCCCCCGGACACTATCCGCTAGCGGATTATGTCCCTCCGGACACTATCCGCGACGCGGATAATGCCCCCCTTCGCGAATAGTGTCCCCCCGATAAAAACAACTAAAGAAGATTTAGTTCTTTGGTCGATCACGATTACGTGATTGAAAAAGTTCTAAATTTGTATTTCAAATTTTAGTGTTATTAGTGTTTCGAATTTAAACATGTTATTACACATACAATATCATAACTTTAATATACGACATAAACATGACTAATGACTTGCAAGGCATTCCTCAAAAACAAAAGCGCTCATTAGCTGCACAATGGCTGGATTAATCAACATTACACAAAAGCATTTCACGAATGTCCAGGCACAATGGCTGTATGACTCACAAAGAAAAGCCGCAAAACAACTGTATAAAGAGTTGCCAGTTGCCAAACAGTTGTCCACTTATTTTCAAAAGTGATCTGCTGGAGTTTAGTATGGAGAACGAGTCAACATTGTATCAGCGAATATACAATTATCTGCGAAATGAGAAATATCCGGATGACTTTCAAGTACTGTATCATAGTTAAATGTATAGATAAATTATGGCTATTCTTGTTCCTTTATGTAGTTTAGTATGTTGTTGTGTAGTTAAAATGTATTACTAAGCAAATTTTTTATATAAAATATATTTTCTAGCAAATATTAACTTTTGTTTTGGACTTTCACGTGGGGGACACTATCCGCGGTAAAGTAATTAAAGGGGACACTATCCGCTAGCGGATAGTGTCCGGGGGGACACTATCCGCGGGGGGACACTATCCGCTGTAACAACGGCAGTGCGATTACCTTTTTCGGTATCAGTATAATTTTATAATTATGGTATCGTATTATCATTTTGCAAAATTCTCCTACATAAATTATTTTCATGGCTTTAATTACACTTCTCAGGGGCTGTTTACATGAACCCGGTTATCCGAGATTCAACGAAGCGTGAGAGGACTTTGAGGTATTGAAATAATTCTTTAAGACCCCGTTTACACTAGAACGAAAGTTTCCGGATTTGTAAAATTATCCGGATTTATTGTTACACACATGTATCGGATTCGTCAGGTTTTACATTACACTTTAGTTGTCTCGGTATGCGAATTTGTCCGTTTACACTCACATTACTTGTTCTTGAAGAATTGTTTGGTCGTTACATTGAATTTCTTCGGATTCGTCGTGCAAAGCGTTTACACAAGAAAATTTTCCGGATTCAAATGTTTCTGGATACAAAGTTTCCACAAACTTTTACGGATTCAAAGTTTCCGGATACGGTTTAAAACCGAGTACATTTTCTATCGGATTCGTTGCTGCGTGTGTAAACAGCAACATGAATCCGGTACTAAAACATTCCGCTTTCGTGATGAATCCGGAAACTTTCGTTCTAGTGTAAACGGGGTCTAAGACATCAAACAAGCACATGCTATTGTTGTGGTCATTATACGACTGCCATGATAATTTTATCTGCTCATTTCAATACCTCAAAATCATCTCACGCTTCGTTGAATTTCGAGTAACGGCCTCATTCATATAAACAGCCCCTCAGTCTATACCTTGTAAAACAGACTGACAGCTAAACTCTTGCGGTACTCCATACTCGCCTTCAGTAAAGACGATTCCGGTACAATTTCCTTATTCAATAAATTTAAACAACCTAAAAAAGTATTTGGTTTTAAATCAAAAGGAGACCATGATAGATTTTCTCAAGCTTTCTGGGGCCTTTTTAAATGGAGCAGGAACGGAAACGTGCTTTTTATTCACTTTTTAGCGTATAATAGCCTATAAAAATTCAGAAATTGGTCAACACCTGTATCGATTGATGTCTTGCAATCGTTTCCATTATAGTGCGTGCAAAAACCAACTATATTTTCGCCTGATAAATGTGCTATGTATTAAGGTGGAAAAATCAATGTGTAAAAGTGCAGCAAAACTAGAGTCGAAAAGGCGAGCGTACATATTAATAATTGGCACAATTTTGTCATCCGTTACCTTTCAATGTTTCAAAGTCCCAGAGATTCTTTTCGGAAAGATACTGTTCTGTTGCGCTTGCCCGCATCTATACAGAGTCGATTAAAGGCGCTGTTGCACTCATGCAATTTTCCTTGCAACTTGAAATGCAATTGTAATTTTGAGGGGTGTTAATTTATAAATATAGTGTTTCAAAATGCTAGGAAAACGTTAGCAGATCGCAAGAAATGTTCGCATTTGAAAAATGTAGATGCCTCTGGAGTAGAATTGCATTGCGTGTCGCAAGGAAAGTTGTACAGTGGAACACCGCCTTGAAGGATAAAGAGTAGGTGTTGGACGCGAATATTTAAGAGACTTCTACTCACCGGCGAATTCTTTATTCCGCCAAAAACAAAACTCGGCACTCCGCGCACGGTTTGACTGGAATCAATTAAGACTCTGAGCCCAGCGTTTACATACGCATGTGCATTCTAAAAAATTAACAAACTACCGTTAAAACCCAGTTGTCTCTAAGAAAACTGGACTGGAACGATGACTTGGCCACCATCTTGGTAGAATACATATATGCATTTCCCATTGTATCACTGTAAAATGTGGAAAAATGGGGCATGTACCTGATGTCTTGGCATTATCTTAAAAGACTTTACAACTTCACCTGCGCGAGAAAACGGGACCATGATACTGATAATCACCTTGGAAAAGAAAAGCATTTGAACGGTGCGTACACTAAGGGAAGGTCTTTGAAGTTGAAAATTTACTGGAGAACATGACCAGGAAGGTTTTATACAAAAGGTGAAACAACTAGTTCATGTGAACGTATAGAAATATTTGTCTGCTAGCTTGCTTGTTTAATGTAGCTATGCATTTGTTTCTCGTCAACGCTTGACCGTGGAAGAAGGCCGAATAAATTACCCCGTCCAAACAAGAAGTCACATCATGCCCTTTTCAGTACCTTGTTTTGCATACCAAGCGATAAAAATTCCTCCATTGTGTAGATGTTAGCGGAGCCATCGACAGAACCTACAAATAAAAAAATGTGACGCATTTGTAATGCATACGTGTGTGCGTTTGACCAGGGCCGTCGCTAAGCGGTTTAAGTACGGGGGGGGGGTATCGAATTTGCCGACAAAATGGGCGTGATCAACGGGTGCGGTTTCTCTAAAGTGACTACATTATTAAAAATAATTAAATTTTTGAAATTTGACATCTTTACTTTACATGTATATCGATGATTCAATAATAAATGTGGAGTTTAAACTGGTTAAAAATAATAAAATGTTGGGTTTCAATTATGTCGAAAAAACTAAAAAATAACGAAAGGTCCTTCGACAGTTAAAAATCGTTCATTTGCCGACAACTAGTGTTCAGGGGGGTGTCACACTCCCACATCCCTACTAGCTACGGCCTTGTCCGCCTGCGCATTTCCAAAAAAAAATACCCCAAGTACAACTCGAATTCTTTGAAAAATGTTGCTTTACAAAATTTAAAACCCTCTTCCTCGGCGTATGGAAATGAGTATATATCATGATCCTGACAGTGGTGTAGATAATTGATACAGAGGTGGAAATAGTCAATGTATACACACATTTTTGTGCGCATGCTCAAGATTAGGTGCCTAAGATTAAAATATTAGGATTTCTGCAATTTATCTAAATTCTAATCTGCGTAAAAAATTAATGCTAGATAAATGACGATATTGTATAAGCATTCGATTATCGTTTACCAAAAAATCTACGCCTTTGCCGATTGTGCTAGTGAATAAATAATTAGTTTAATCGTCGAGATTTTTTTTAATAATTAGTGCGAAATTAGCAGCAGTATTGATCATGTATGAGCCTAAAAGTTGCTTCCTGTTACCCGGCAAAAAAGTAAAAGGTTCCGAATATGTTCTGGCAACACTCAAATCACTGATGATCTTTTATATTTTTTAATAAAGTAATAAACTGTACAAAAAATTACATTTATGTCTCCCAATATTCTCAGCTCACTAGAATTATCAATATGAAATATGCTGTCAACACGTGTTTATATATCAGGCAATTCGCCTGATCTTTAGGAGGTTACCCGCGAACAGGTGACAACCACTGATCTATGTAGTTCCTATCAAAAGTAGTTCCAGGTAGCTGGAAACCAGAACAGTTATTCAAAGCTCGGGTAACCGGGCTCACGTGAACTGCCGCTAAGGCTGGATCCTCCCTTGCAGAGAAACAGTTCGCTAGCGAAGTATTTGCATGTTTTCCGTTATATTTTGACAGAATAATAGCCTTGATTGTTCTCATTTTAAAAAAAAGTAATTATGTAAATATTTCGCTAGCGAGCCATTTCTCTGCAAGTAGAAATCCAGCCCGGTTAGCTAAACCAAATCCTTCATTGTTACTCACCTATATTCAAAGTGGCACCAACTGCCGACGTAATTGTAAATATGTCCGAAGGAAATTCTCGATGTTTATGAAGCAACATGAGATTACCAGCCCAACAACCGACCTACGGATACGACGCAAAGACATCAGTTTAAGTTCAGTCAGTCCCTCAACCGGATCGATTGTGATTAAACGTCCAGGTATGACAGGGCGATCCATTGCAAATCAAATTAATGTAGTTTACTGCAGTAATTTTATATCTTAGGCTAATCATTTAGATTGACAAAGTTATATGACGGAACAATGATTTTGGATTGAATATAAGCGGAAATGCTACAGAAGAAATATTTTGCGATAAATGGAGACACCAAGATTCTGTTCGAATTGGTTGAAATTGGCCCGATTTATACTAGATCGGTCTGACAGATCATTCGTCTGGGATAAACAAAAAACAAGCTATCTAGACAAACTATGTAGACCAATTAATGCATGTGTTAAACGAAACAGAATCGCGCGTTCAGAAAGTGCACGAGGATTAGGGAACTATTTATGGGGTAAAAAGAGTGCACAGGGGCCGTTATATAATGAAACTTTCGTACAGACGGGTGATGCGTCAAAGCTACCATTCAATTCGTCAAATAGGCGAACTATGCGGATAAATCGTGTTGACGGATGATTCGTCTGTTTGCCCGTGATTACACATAGACGAACTAGAAGACGAACATACTCTCACTGGTCCAAGTGCGTCCAGACGAATTATTCGTCCCTTGTATATATCGGGCCATTAAAATACTGCCGAGAATTCAGCAACTTTGGTTGTACACATCGTTTAAGTTTACACGATTTGCAAGGTCGCTATTACCGTATTCTATTCATTTTAGTTGGTTCTATGGAATAAACATTAATATTGTTGCAATGTACTCACATTTCTTACTGCAACATTGGCGATCTACAAACCAGAAAATGAATTCGATAAACGCATGCTTTAGATTTACCGTAAGCATTAGATTTACAATTTATTAGTAAAACGCCTGCTTTATAATTCATTGGTAAAAAATACAAGGCAAGGAACAAGGGGAGAGTTCGTTGTAAGCTAATCACCATATTTGTTTTCAATTTTCAGGCAAAGCCAATTAGAATGCCTAATTTTTTATACTTCATGTAAAATAGTAAATAATGCACCTTTTACCGGAAGTAGTCAAAATTCATGCATTCTGATTTGGTCAATGAAAATGTAAACAAACTTGCTGATTGGTCTAAAACGAAGTTTCCGCTAGGCAATTCGAAAATTCTGAAATTTAAAGTTTGATGAAGAAATACCAAAATGCAATATAATCTAATCGAACCTTTTTTATATGAGATGCAAGAACATCAAATGACTTTGATTTCTCGGAATTCTGTAACAATTCTCGGATAAGAGTGTTGAGCGACAGGGAAGCACCAAGTTCCAGGGTAGAATCAGTCACCTGTACCAATTTAAAGACATGTAATTAAACGGTAAGCAGTATGCATCATAGTATCATTCCGTGTCATCCCTAGACCAATTGCGAAACTTAATAACCGCGCCTTTGCCAACATGGAGACGAGGTCTATTATGCAAAAAACAATATCTATATTATTTGCAGTACAACGAAGTTCCCAAGTGTATTTCCGTTTACGATAGTGAACGGAATCCTTCCCTTTTCAAGTATTCCTGGTTAACTCTTATTAAACATCTATTGCATGGTAGAAGATAGAAAGAATAGTGTTCTGTAGTGACACAAATTATTGAGAACGTCTGATGCCTTCGAATTCGACTTATAAAAATTAGTTTTCTGCATAATAAGCCTCGTTTGAGTCGTTTGGGCGAAGGCGCGGTTACTAAGTTTCGCAATTGGTCTATCATCCAAAAAGAACGCCATTAGGCATTACGATAAATGCATGTACCTTAACAATATTTAATTCAGGAATATCCGTCACACTTATGTAAACATTGAAATCACCGTCATTTTTGTACACCCCTGAAAAGTAGGATTCTTATTTATACTGAAAAGATAAAAATGAACACGGTTCAGATCTTTCTATATAAGGATCTAGCAAAGAGTAGTCAAATCTCTTATTGTTCCCGTATTATCTAAAGAGGAACCGGAACTAAGTTAGCGTATACTCGATAGCGATAAGTCAGTCATGAACTGCTCTCATGAACTGTTTCTTCTCTATAAGATCCGCGTGGTTTTCTCCACGTTATAATTATGCTTTTATTACGAGACAAACTTTAATCACTGTCTGGTATATAGATAACCTCTTAATAAACATAAGGACGAAAACATAAATTTTGCCGATATAGCTTGTTTTACTTGGTTTTTAGTTCTTAGAAAAGTCCTACGTATACTGGTATCTGCGTTGTGACTCATTGGGTCAAACTAAGAGGTAATAACTATAGTAATTCTGAGCAGTAGTAACAAGCAAGAATTTCGTTTTAAACTAATCGGCTCATTTGTTTACATTTTTCAAGTCAATCATAATGCCTAATTTTTTTTATAGTTCGTTATACTTTTATACCTTTTTATACTTTATCTTTTTACCTTAAGTAGTCAATACTTATGTATTCTGATTGGGTAAATGAAAATGTAAACAAATGTTTTGATTGGTCTAAAAGGAAATTCCTCCTAGTCAGAAGGTGAACAGCAATAAAAAAATAAATAATAAGATTTTCCAGAATGTTTGTATCTAAATCATCCTTCACCTTTTCCAGTGTTTCCACCCACCAGCCTCACAGAGTCCGAAATATGTTCTTTCAGAATGTTATAAACGTCACTGAGGGACGAAGGCTTATACCACAGCGGGCTTGACAACTCCCTCATATTGAAACAACAGCCATGACAAGCTTTCGTCTCTTCGCAGCAATTTCCTTTGCTAGAGCGTTGACTTAAGTCCTGTAATTATGTATACTCCAGTGAGGCAGTGGCGGAATCAGCATAAATCAAAATAAATTATAACAGCATGTAATTGCAGTACATTGTTGTTTCGAAGCACCTTTAAAGTGATTCTATAGTGGTGAATGTAGGTCATAAAACAATGTTTACCTCTATGTCAATGGGGCTTTCTCCTTTTGCGAACGACTTCATAGCATCCAGAATGGAACGGAAACCTACATATAAAGTTCTAAGATTAAAATCCCTTGTACGTTAAGTTTAAAATATATCTTCTCAGCTGAAGTGTTATAGTGCCTTACCAGTACAACGGCAAAGATTTCCATCAAAACCATCCTCAATTTCTTGTTTGCTTGGTTGAGAATTTTCCGAAAGTAAGCTAAAGAACATAAAACGAAATGTTCTGCACTAAATGGAATAATAAGGAACTTCATATAATTATAAGAACAGTACATAAAACTGTTTTCCTGGGCTTCGATTACACATAGCTACCGGGTGTCTCAAAAAAGTACTCAGGTTTGACTCAAATTAGCTTCTTATCGAATGAAGCTATGGAAATGTTCGAAACAACTTTCATTACTAGAAGAAAGACTAACTTAGATTTGATATGTTATTGCTATAAGTTAGGATGATTTCCAAATCATCAAATGTTTCTTAAATGCGAGCTATGCTTCTCTCATTATTTGCTGCCATGCTGCAATTTTGCATAATTTAGACAAATTTATAAATACGCTACTAACTTTGAACGCCAATATCTCGCATACATTTTTAGATAGAATCGAATGTAATTGCAATATACCAAAATCTAAGCTAACGTTTCTTTTATGTAATAAAATTTATTTCAGTGTAATGGCTTCACTGGTTAAAAAGTTATTATCAATCAAACCGGAGTACTTTTTTTTGGGACACCCGGTATATCTATTGGGACTACCATTGCATGCTAGTTGAAGGAACAAGCCCGACTATTTAAATTTTACCTGTACATATTCATGACGAATCCTGGAGTACAGTAACCACACTGGCTGCCATTGTATTCAGCAATACGTTCCTGGATTGCGTGGAAGCCATTTCGACTGCTAAACAAATGTTACCACAAATTGAACTAAGTTTAGTGTTCGTTATTAGGTCACCTCCATTAAGCGAGAACTTTTCATTTCTTGCATTAGTTCTAATAAAATCTCTCTTCCTCAAAGATTCTATTTCCTTTCTCAAAGGAACATCTCTTATAAAGATGCATTAGCTCAGAAATGAATCTAAATTACATTTAATTATGCCGGAAAGCTCTGTAATTTCTCAATACAATCATCATGACAATATCATATGTAGGGCTACCTGCCTATCCCTTCAGTTGTTGTAATCTTAAATCCATCTGCGGCAAAAAGTGGAAATAAACACTACACAAAGAAAACAATGCAGAATAAGTGACGTTTTAACGGTGTTTTATAACTTTCCCGAAGTACACACATGTAACAGCATTAAAGGCCCTGGTTAAACGACGCATTTTGGTTGCGTATGAGAATGCAATTCAAACAGTAGATAATGATAAGATAGTTAATAGGTTTATAATTACATTATTTATTACATTATTCATTATCCATTGTTTGAATTGCATTCGACGTTGACCAAAATGCGACGTTTTCCCAAGACCTAACTTACACTATTGACAGCGATTGTCTTTTGTTTGTTGGTGACAAGATCTTGTTTCGTTAAGGCCACAATACATGACCCACAACCGCCTTCCTGACATGTCACCTTGGTTCCTGAAGATGTTTTTAGGTATAAGAAATTAAGAATTAACGTTGAATATTGCTAGCCTGCGTGGAGGTTCGATTAGGGTAAACGAATGAACTGCTCGAGGTCTATTAAGCAAGCAGCATAATGATTGCTCAACAGTAACCGGCTACCAGGACAAACGAGAATATATACAAGAAACTCACAATTCACTACCACAATGATTGGCATGATTAATTAGAACGATGCCTTAAAAGAGCATAAAATCGCTATGCAGGCGAAAAATACAACACATTCCATCCAATACCGCTTGTATACCACCCCCCGCCTTCCCAAGCAATGTTGATGCAAAAAATTTCAGTAAGCCATTTCTTTTGCTGTTGCTGCTTTTCTCATGTGTAATTGTCACTTTGACAAAAATAATTTTATATATATAGCATTTACATATAGCATTTTAAAAAACCCGAACAAGTGATTTTCGCGTAATAATCCGAGGTCGCCGGAATTTCCGAAAATCAGCGGCGTAATTATTATTATTATTATATTTAACCAGGATACCATGATTTTACTAATTAAACTAATCAACTATTAATAAGAATAAATAATTAAGAATTAATTGAGAATAAAGAAGTAATAAGAAATAATAATTAATTGCAAAATACTTTGCAATTACTACTATCTCTACCAATAATCAATAATAATTTCATTGATTGGAAGCCAAATGTCGCTTTTCGCAAGCAAAAAAATGGACGCTTACCTTTCAAGCAAGGTTGAGATCTCAGCCATTCATTTAAAGACGTATTTGGGCTTGTATTTGAAATGCTGTATTTCACTCCATTCACCTGGACATTAATCACCTGAATTGGTGCCACTGACATATTGGCCTGTCAAGAATACATTTAAAGTATTTTATTATGTGTGCATAGAAATTGATGCACATTTTTTCAAGATGAAGTGGAAATATATGAGTGAGATTCAAAATTAATTCTCAAATTTCAAAACATTTTTACTTTCGTAACATCGACCGGCACCGCTGCGGGCGAGAGGCTAAGCAGGAGTATGATAATGCAACAGCCTAAATGGCCAGGGGCCTCTTAGGGTTTTTATATTATTATATTTTGATATGGGTAATTAGAACCATATTGTAGTTCTTATATGTTAATTTGTAACAATTGTCTGAATTAAATGAACTAGTAAATAAGGTTTAAGATTTTTGTGGGCAAAACGGGAAAGTTAATTGTAAATAAAGGGGCGTAAACTGATTAGTAGGTAAAAAAAAATAAAAAGAGGGAGCAGTTAGTAATTTGTTGAACAACCGCCATGCAACCATGTGGTGCGTATGATTTAAAAAAATTAAAAGATTTTATTTGTGCCTCATAAAAATCTTCAGAAAATTGTGTAGTTACGTGTGTAGTGATAGACTGTGTATTGTTGTTTATGTTCGAAATCAAAGGTATGCAAGGAGGTAGGTAGAAAAGGATAGAAGAGAAGACAGTCAAGCGTGCGAATTAGTATCCCTGTACGCGGCGCGGCGTGTCGTCTTTTTGCAGGCTCGTCAGCGGGGAGCAGGGTTGGCTTTGTGTAAAAGAACCAAGAGCATAAGAAGAGAGTAAAGAATGTTTTATGTTTATGTGAAAATCCAAAAGAATCAAACTTGCGTAGAAGTGTATTCATAAAAGGTAAAATTGTAAGATAAGGGAGTGTGTCTTACCGAAAGTGTTGTTGAACTTTGATAATCCAACACGATGAGCCATCTTAAAAATGTTTTGTTTAGTTGAAAAAACGAGCGGAAATTTATCCAAAAAGGATTTGATGCGCTGAGGAGCAAAGCTTGTAACCGTTCAAGGAGCTTGATCGAAAAGGGGCAGGGGATTGCACGTGTGCGCATAAAATGCGTTAGTATGTTACGTCACTGGGGTCAGGTGTCAAAGTGTATGTTGGAGATATTTGGGGTTTATGTGTGGGTTATAATGGTTGTGGTTTAGAAGTGTTTTGGTTGTTGGTCGTACTTCATGTTGCACGGTTGATTGTTATGTTAAAAGTTTTATCACCATGGGCGTGGTTTACGAAGATTGTTGATGAGTTTTGTGTTTTTGCAATTATATTTATATCGCTATCTGCGAATAGCAAGACACCCGGTCCCTGGGTAGTAAAACATTTCGTGGATCGATGTTTAGTACTACAGCAGACGTGACTGTTTCGATCGTGGTTAAGATGATCAATTCGAGGTAGTCAAGGTTTTTATAGGTTGGTGTGTATATTTGAAGTTTTAGTAAACAAATTTGTGTACATGCATATATAATTGTAAATATAAGGTTATATAAAGTATATGTATTAATTGTTAATGGAGCTTGAATAATCAGTCATCACCGGTAAATCGAAGTAGACGTGGTCGTTATTATTCGTTTACATTATTGTTAATAAAAGGATAAAATTTTTTGGACAAACGAGCTGATACATTTCAATGTAGATAGCTTAATTTTCAATGGGAGTACATATTAAATGCTTAAGATATACAATCATTCTGACTAATTCACATTGCATTATGATTGCAATATGCACTGAAATTTGGAAACCAAGACCTAGAAACAAAGAACAACAGTTTCCTTCAATAAATTCAGCTTTCATATAAAGCATGTAATAAAAATAGTTGACAAAACGAAGATTAAAAGACCCTTGTTTTTAAAATTGCATTTTTTATGCTTAAAAATTCAGTTTTTCTCATTAAAAAGTACAAAAACACTTGCTGGAGTTTCGCGCATGCGCATTACAATCAGGAGACAAGAAATTGCAGAAGTGAACGGTCTGTATGATTCAGCGAAATGAAAATAACTGGAAGTTGACCGGAATTTGAAACTAAGTCACCCCCAGTCTTTACACGGAAGAACAAACACGGCCAAAACAAAAGTATTTTGTTGCGATTTCGTAAATCTGATAAAAACTCCGAAAAAAAATCTTTTAGGGAGATAAATAACTGATTTTGTTAGTACTTCCTGCCGGCTGAGACATTCTTGATGTTAGTAGAATGCATTTTATTTTTATTTTTGGAAATGCGGAGTAAGACGGTTCTTTGCTAGGAAAAAGCGCAGAGCCTAGCGTGACAATGCAGAAATATTTGTTTTACTCTATAATTAATACAACTTTTTGCCATTTAGTCATTGGAATTAAATAAATATAAACTTATAATTTTAAACAGTGTATTTTGCGATGAAATTTTAGCTTTTGGGATATCCGTCTCGTACAAATATTGTCGCAAAATTGCACATCGCTATAAACTTGCTCCGTTTAAGAGAATTTGTTTCAAATCCGATCGGCAACTCGAGTCGTAATTCGTAAAACAGTTCACCTGGTTGAATTTAAGACTAATTTTAAGATTGAAACAAACAAAAAACCAAATTTTTTCCAAATTTGCTCTGCATCTGCAATGATTTCGCGAGTCACCCGCGAATGAAGCCAAAAATTTGCGAGACTTTACCTCTGGCAGTGGCGTAGCCAGCCTGACGATTTTGTCCCGCTATGTAAATTTCGAGTTATTATAATTATTCATGCCTTTAGAAATCTATTGTTTTCACAGTCAGTTGTGGGTAGCCGCTACGCATGTGCTATGCATGCACAACCACTATGTAGTTGAAAGTGTCTGTGGGTATGGGCTATCTTTAAAAGGGAGATCGGAGAATCGGGAAACAGGGGAATCGCGGAATGAGGGAATCGGGTAATGGAGGAACTAGGGAGCGGGAGGATTGGGGAGTAGGGGAATGGAGGAACTGGGAGGTGGGAGGGATGGGGAACAAAGGAATGGATAAACCGCGGAGTGGGAGGACTGGGTAACGGGGGAATGGATAGCAGGGGGATGGAGGAATTGTTGAGCAGGGGAGAGGGGGCAGGAGAAATAGGAAGCGGGAGAGCATAGGCAACCGCGGGGGAACATTGCAACAGGGGAATAGAGCAACAAGAGAATGGGGAGTGAGAGGAAAGGGGAATTCCTTTGTGCCCCCAGTTCTTCTGCCACCCAGCTCCCCCATTCAACTGTTCTACTCCCCAGTTCCTCCAAGTAACACACAAAAGTAACAAAACTGTAAATACAATTATACATGTGTATAATGTAATATATAAAACATATTAGAAAGCAAAATGAAAATTATATACACAGAACAATTTCTTGAGCAATGCTATTCCCATACAACACATGTTCTGCTGCATTTTTCACTATATTTTGAATAGATATCACTATTCATTGAAAATTTGCATACCAACTAAATGAACACACTAGCTTATTGTTTCCTTTTTTCTTAAAAAGCCGTGCGACAATACCAATATGCGATTTATAGTTTTAATTTTTAGAGTAATATCTAAAGTTTCACAGAACACTTGGCATGGCAAAATATTAACAATAATATTGAAAAATTTTCATCTTTTAAATGTAGAACAAGTAGATATAAAAACAGTTTCTTTCCTAGCATGATTAGCACATTGGACAAGTAATTTTTAACAAATATTTTTAATTGTAATAAAAATTTTAAGCTATCTCGTAAAAAAGTTAGATATTTATATATATTTTAACTTATATTTTAACTAATCGTAAAACGCATTGTAATTCATTTTTTATGCGTTGATGTGTTATTAAATCTCGTCTTTCATAGTGTTGAACCTAATTAAAGGAAAAACTCATACCACATCATAGGTCTGTATTTAACAGTTGCTGAACTGCTGCGAACTCGAGTTGTATATGAGCTGATAACCGACAAGGCGCGTAGCGCCGAGTTGGCTATCGGCCATATACGACGAGAGTGAGCAGTATAACTGTTTTATTATATACACAAAGTTTGTCGCCCTTTCGGTGCATTTTGGCGTGCTATTATCAACTAGGCTTGGATTTCTATTTCACTCAACTCCCTAAATCTTTCGGCGATTTTGTTTACTTTCTCTACTAGACAGATATGAGCTAATATCTGTCTAGTAGCCAACCAATGAAATTGCAGCATACCTCATATCTGGCGCTTGTGTATATAATAAACAGTATTATAGCTCTCTTGACAAAATCGTCAGGCTGGCTACGCCACTGATTCTTCCTGTGTGGCCAAGTGTTTTGTGAAACTTTAGATATTACTTTATTTTGTGAAACTTTAGATACTAAACTTTACTGCGCCACGGAGTAATTCCTTTTCTCCCCACTCCCCATCTCTGGTTCTCCCATTCAATTGTTTCTCCCTTTCCCTGTTTCTAAGTTCCGCAGGTAGCCTGGTGCCTCAGTTCTCCCGCTCCCCATTTCTCCTGCTCCCCATCTCCCCTGCTACCCATGCAGTTCCTCCATCCCCCCGTTACCTAGTTCTCACACTCCACAGTTCCTACATTGCTCCCACTCCCCAGTTCCTCCATTCCCCTGCTCCCCAGTTCTAATGCTTCCAAGTTCCTCTATTACCCGATTTCCCGATTCCTCCATACCCTGATTCACCTGTTCCCTGACTTCCCGATTTCCCCATTCCCCGTTTTAAAGATATAAAAGTCAAGGTAAAGTCAACGTTGCATTATTTGTGTCAATATTTGTCATTTCAATCGCTAATTTGTCGACTGTGGTCAAGCAATTGATCACATACGGATTATACGAGCGTACAAATCTTAATACTGCGTGTGTGGCTTGTTTGCAAGTTTCATTCACAATATCTTATCACTGTAGTAATCAGTCCAAACAATCAGTCAACATTGACTGCCATCATTCATCATTGATATATGTATTGCTGAGCAGTAGTTAGCAGGAAGGTATGTCCTAGGACCTGGATTTTCCTGCATATCATTTCAAAGTCTCAGTAATAATGGCACATAAACATTGTAATATAATTTGAACATACCATAAGCACAATTCACTGTTCTTTTGACTCTTAATCAATTGGTTCTTGAGATATAGCAAGCAAAAACCTTGCCATTGTGCACGTATTGAAATTAGACCTTGCCATTGTGCAGGTATTGAAATTGAACCTTGCCATTGTGCAGGTATTGAAATTGAACCTTGCCATTGTGTAGATATGAATAAAACGACAGCCATTCTGCTGATATATTCAAACAAAATATTAAGTTAAGGCTACAAATATGGGCGTCATTAGTAAAGTTCATCGTTCCAGGATTGGTTCAAATCACAATTTTCTTGACCGTCGAAACAGTCTCTGCCGTCTGAAAAGCAAGCTTTGGAATCAAATACTGTTAACGTTTTATATTAATGTATTTTGCTTGCCATATCTCAAGAACCAATTGATTAAGAGTCAAAAGAACAGTGAATTGTCCTTACAGTATGTTAAAATTATATACTATCCCAATATTTATGTGCCATTATTACTGAGACTTTCAAATGATGTGAAGGAAAATCCAGGTCCTAGGACATACTTTTCAGCAATACACGTTTATATTAATGATGAATGATGGCATTCAATGTTGACTGATTGTCAGACATGATTACCACAGACAAGCCACGCGGTCTTATTGGATCTACGAACTGCACCAGTTCGTAGATCCAATAAGACCGCGTGGCTTGTCTGTGGTAATCATGTCTGACAATCAGTCAACATTGAATGCCATCATTCATCATTAATATAAACGTGTATTGCTGAAAAGTATGTCCTAGGACCTGGATTTTCCTTCACATCATTTGAAAGTCTCAGCTCATAATAGCACCTATTATCTCCATGCTGATAAGCTATCTGTAATTAACATTGCAAACCAGCTGTACCTTCCTACTGGATCTATAAAATCACACTATCATCTTCAGCTATAATGGTGATAACGTATTGTCAATAAACTTTGGCAAACAAGCCGTGTATATATCTTACTGGAACAATAACCATTCTAACATTAATTTTATTAACTATATAACATTCATTGATCGACAAAATAACCATGCAATGTTGTATGTAACAAAGGCATGCTAATAATCAAAGGACATCAAAACAACATAATTTGAAAACATCTGAAATCGTCTTTCTCTCCTTCTAAACTAAGCTTTATGTTATCACGGGATGTGTGCCACCATCCTGGAACCTTACTCTCTTTTTTGTTCTCTCCAACGTTTTATATTAATGTATTTTGCTTGCCATATCTCAAGAACCAATTGATTAAGAGTCAAAAGAACAGTGAATTGTCCTTACAGTATGTTAAAATTATATACTATCCCAATATTTATGTGCCAATACGCATTTCCTATCTCTTGTAAATATGCTTTTATATATGTTTTGATGTGTCGTAAAATGTATTTAATACAATAAAATATTATAATATAATATAATAATAGATTGTGTAATAAAATCGACTTCGTTATAACTATATTCCATTAGCTAACTATCGGGCATTTTTGCCATTTTGTTTGGCATTAGAAGTAAGATTATAAGCATCAGCTGATATTTACTCGCCACTATAGCAGCCTGTCGTTTGACATTGAATACAACATAGCTTTATCGCAGTTAATGTTTTACAGGCTCCCGCATGTTTATTTTGCGTACCTATTTTTGTAGTTTTTATTGTCTGTAATAATGTGTCTGTATCGTAGTGCCTGACTGTAGATGACTGCATTCTTGCATGTGGTGGGGTGAAATGAGCTCTTGTGTAGTAGTAGGGTTTTGTCAGTTGGTTTAATGTACAGGTTTTTGGTTTTCGTAGATAGTTGTGTCAAGGAAGTTGACTGATTCCTCAGAGAAAGAAAAGTCAAATTTGATGGTAGGATGGAAATTGTTTCTGTATTTAAGGAATTTTTCCAGTTTGTCAGTGTCAGTGTTCAAATTGCAAAGATGTCATCTAAAAATCTTATCCATTCAATAGGTGTACGATTTTCAGGAGCTTGTTGGAGGATCTTCTGTTCAAGTATTGCTATGAATATGCTTGCATATAGGTAGGTGCCATAGGTGAACCCATAGCAGTGCCCTGAATTTGTAGGTATTCGTTGTTAAAAGCAAATGCATTCTTATTAAATACAAGAGATAGGATGTCATAAACTAGTTTCTCCATTTCAGGGTTTCGGTCTCAGTCAAAATTTTAGGGGTCAGGTCATGTGTTAGTTTTTGGTAGTGTTTCTCATTATAAAGTTGTCTATATGCCTCAGTAAGTTTATCCTGCATTGGCCATATCAAAATGGCTCCTCCTTTGTCTGCTGGTTTGATTATTATATCATCATCGTTTTTCAGATCATGGATGGTTTTGAGGCCAAGGCGGGGAGGTTATATTTTGGAGTTCGTTTTTGTGTTCCGAATTCAACAAAAACCAGCCCGTTTCCGTTGAAGTATTATTTATGATAGATGTTTACACGAGACTTACGAAGCGAATATAACTCAGACCGGTCTGAAGTCATGACCGGCGTGAATGTAAACACATAATATATACTTTTTGGACCAGGTCTGAAATGCAAAACAACGCATAGTCATAAAATTAGAGTACATGCACTTGATGAATCATTACTCGTTTTTTGACCGGCATGCAGCTTATCGCCCATTTAGCCTTAGACTCGCATTCTAAAATATGCCAGGCTTCTAAAGTTCAATTCCAAACAGTGGTAATTACTAAATTTAAACCGTTCCATGCAATGCTATGGTTTGTTTGACACTCTTGTTAGCTACGCCAAGGCTAATTTTAAATGGCCTTTTCAATAATGGATCCAGGCTAAGTAGATAACTTTCACCGTAGCACGAGAACGAACGAATAGCTTCATTAATATCATTAATATCATTAACGCGACGAAAGAATTGTGAAATCCTCATTCCCTAGAGGTTGGCTTTTGTTATGTGATCAAATCAAAATAAGCACAGCTGTTAAAGCATGGACATCAGTATACAGTATATAGCCAATTTATAAATACGTGTTTTTTTCGAAAACAAGTAAAGAATCCGGAGTCATTAAACTAGCCTATTGTTAGAAGTCCTAAAACCCTGTAGCACTGGGCTAAGCGCTAGAATGCGTGAATAATGACAGCAAAGATTAAAAGTATTGAATTTTGGTGAACATATAACATGTGTAATTTAGCTTTTTCTTACAAGCAACAATTTTGCCCTTTTACAATGTTTGTATCTAAGAAAGACAACCCTTTTTTTATGAACACCACTTTGTCTTTGCTTAATAACACAAATATAGGGAATATGGATACAGCGATAAATACTTCTATAAGGCCAGTTGTAAATAAGCTTCTGTATAGTTAGTAGGGTTAACCATAGATACGTGGTAACGTCAAAAATAGCGTGTACGTGGTTTGACAACAAGAAGAACTATGAAGATAGTAATTTAATATGCCAAAGGCATTTAAAGTTAAATAATGCATATTACTCAGATTCATTCGGTACACATGCAATGGCCCATTCTATTGTCTCATGTTGTCGGTATTCTCGTTCGTATTTGTCTTATCTCGTTCATATGTGCATAACGAGCATAAAATTCTATGCACAAGTAATAAAGGAATACCAAATGATTTTCCGTGCAGGATTGCGTGATCCATGCACGCGGGATGTTGCGAGACTTTCGGAAAGCGTGAAAATACACGAGCCGTAGGCGAGTGTATTTTCACGCTTTCCGAAAGTCGAGCAACATCCCAAGTGCATGGATCACGCAATCCTGCACGGAAAATCATTTGGTAATTGTTTTAAAAAATAACTGTAGTGAAACAACGGTTAACTTTATTAAAATTAAATTTCGCGTGCAGGATTGTCTAAAACGCGTGCAGGATTGTCTGATCCTGCACGGCTATTGACCAATCACATTGCGTGTTTCACTATAGTTATTATATAATTAAAATTCCTGCCTATTTGTTCGTTCTCGTCCTACGGTGAAAGTTATCTAGTAAAATAAATTACTATAGAGCTCTAACTTGCCGTCATATTGGTAGATTTTTATGTAAAGATATCCTCTAGAAATGAATAAGCAATAATGTTGCTATTAAGGTATTTTGCATTTGAAATTAGGCTGTGTAATATATTCTTACTTGAATCCGCCCTGAAACCCCCACTTGGCATTTTGATGTTCTTTTAAACGTGTGGCGAACAGAGTTAGAATTTCGTCAACTTACTGAAATTTTTCCACATATGACAATATGAGTCATAACAATGCTCAGTTTTAAAAGAGTTGTTTTTGATAGCGCATTCCCTTGTCTTACTTCTTCTCTAAGACAATATTTAAGTAAATTAGTCCTTTATGTATCGAAAGATCAATTCATATTACTTAAAATATACCACTAGCTGCTGCATGCCTGAAAGAAATGTTCTATGAGCATATAAGCGACGTTTAATAATAATGTTGTGTGGCGACCTGCATAGATGACTCTCTGATGATATTTTTTTTAAAATATCACACGTGGCAAGCACTAAGCGTAGACGCCAAGAAATTTGAAGTAATCAGCTCAGTGAATATAGGCTTGTATAAATCACCGAGCTTGAGGCGACTAATTCTTTAAAATAATTTAATAAATAATGCACGGCCACAAACATCAAATTATATGCGCTGTATATTTAAATTTAGTTAAGATTGACATATATACTTTGCCGTTTGGTTCCTCCTGGCGTGCGAATTACGTTTCTTTCGTGTGCCTTGGTCAACGCTCACAGAAATAACCGGTGCTTTGTGTGCTTCTTTTTCGCATCTTAGCCTTTACTTGTTTCAATATCCGCGGCAAGTTTGTCTAACTGTGCCTTTCATATTATGCGCGTTATTTAGCGTAATTTCTATCACTGATTGTCTCCTTTTCACATCCTTTATAACACTGCGAATCTGTCTGCGATAATCTATGCTAGCGATCGGCAAAGAACTTTAATACGGTAAAAGACATTTTCAAAGCTTCGATCCTTTCGAACTCCTTTCACTCCTTCGCAGCCATTAAAGGAGACAGAAGGACAATCGTGAATATATAATTACAGTGCAAAACCTAATTAGGGGACCCGGGGAACCCGTGGTACAGTGACTGAGTG